GAGATCAGGACCCTAGTCAATGCAAGAATTCAGGACGAATCCTGCCACTTCATCTCAGCAAGGAGAACACCCAAGGATAACTTTATCCTGGAAACAAAGTTTGTCACCCCAGCAACAAAGGCAATGGAATACGCCAAAGAAATTGAGGAGGCTCTCCTCACCCTACAAGTACCAGTCGCCACCATCCGGGTAAACTCCAAATGGTCAAAGTTCCTCATTCACAGAATCCCCACAACGGTCGGAGAAGGCGTCGAGGCAGGACAACTGGTAGCATCCAAAATTAGAAGCAACTATGGAGAGAACTTCCAACTTGCCCAGGTTCCCCGCTGGATCTCCAGAGCAGAGACTCGAATGGAGAAAACCCACTCATCAATGGTCATCGCGCTCCCAGGACAAGTTACAATGGAAACACTAGGAGTTAAGTTCCTATCCCTCTTTAACCGAAGCTGCCACATCGAGGCCTTCCTCCCAACCTTCCCAGACACCCAGTGCGCGAAGTGCCTCGAATACGGTCACCGACAGGAGAAATGCAAGAACAATGGGAGATGCGGTCATTGTGCCGGAGATCACCTCACCAGCTTCCACCCATGCAATCAATGCCAGGGAGGATATAGATGCACCCACACCCCAATCAGATGTCTGAACTGTAAAGGAATCCATAAGGCCTCCGATCCAGCATGCCCCGTAAGAGTCAAACGCCGATTCCTCAACAAAGGAAAGGAAAACGCTCCACCCGCCCAAGATCCACCGGCCGCACCCATCCAAGAGTTGCTTCCGATAGTTCAAGTACCAGCCACCGCCCCAGTTGGAGCCACACCCGTTCCCGAAGACGACCAACACATGACAAATAATGCCTAGGCCTCGAACCACCGCGCTCGCACACCAACTCAACTGTGCACGGAGCGAACTTATCACCAAGGCGGCGATAGAAGAAGCGGAAACAGACTCTAGTATTTATTTCCTATTATTACAAGAACCATGGACCTCAGCAGAGGGATACCCACCACAATCAAACCTCTTTTATATTTTTACGGCCAGCAACACCAATACAAAATGTACAACATACGTCCGCAAACATGCCAATCTTAAACCAAAACACCACTACACACACGATAATTTCATAGTATCGATTACGGTAGAAATCCAGAACAAGAAAACCCAAATCCTAAACATATACTCCCCAGGCCGAAGTGGCCCCTTTGCCCAAATAGCAAAAACAATCCAAACCCTCGACAATTGCCTAGTAATGGGAGACTTCAACTGCCATCACCAAATGTGGTACGGAGTAACATCACATGAATACAGAAACAACATCCGAGCAGACCACGCCAACGGTGCACGGCTAAAACAATGGATAACTCGACAGAAACTGACCCTCCTGAATGAACCAGGCGTCTTTACGCACTTCCCCAGAGACAGAGGAAAAAGGCCTACAATTATTGACCTTACATTTGTAAAAGGCCCAACTCTCGACCACAACCTACGATGGAGCACTGAACCCTATGGAGCGGGCTCAGACCACGGGAGAACCTCCATTCACTTACACTTGGAAAAACCACCATTCGTACCAAGACGGATGTGGCGACAAACAGACTGGAAGCTCTTGGAGAACCATATGTCAAACATTTCTCTCCCGGCAGAGGCATGGGAAACCGAGGAATATACGGAACAAACCGTCGACTTCTTTTTAGAACTGGTCAGGGCAACAATCAGTATAGTAACACCACTTTCGAAGGAAGGAGTAAGAGCCAACTCCTGGTGGTCAGAGGAAATGAAACAAATGAAGGCAAGGGTAAACGCGGCAGAAAGGAAGGCGAGAAATACAAAGAAACCCAACCATGCGGAGGAGCACCGGAAGGCATGCAGAGAATGGACAGTCATGATCCGGAAAGCAAAAGCGGACCAGCGGGAAAAGACGATGAACGAGGCGAAAGTTAGTGAAGTCTGGAGAATCCTAAACGCAGGAAGAAGAAGAGACACAATCATACCAACAATACAAGGTGAAGAAACGTTTGCGGGGAAGTGTCAAGCTCTAAGAGCCCAACTTTTCCCCTCAAAACAGACGTCCCCCGACCATCCCCCCCTAAACATTAGGCCCCCCTCTTTCGACCTTAGCAACACCTTCGACATAGTCACCCCCGAAGAACTTAATAAAGCAATCGACTCCTGTCCAGCGCACTCAGCGACCGGCCCGGATGGCATCCCTTATACCTTTATTAAAGCAATAGTCAAGGCAAACACAACTCTAATTCAAGACATGTTCTCCGCCATGCTCCGGCACGGTGTACACCCTGCGGAGTGGAAAATAGTTAAGTGTATCCCGATCCCGAAACCCGGTAAAGCAAACTATCATGAAGCAAAGGCCTACCGGCCCATTTCCCTTCTACAATGTTTCAGCAAAATCCTGGAAAAGATAGTGGCCCAAAGACTCTGCACCGCTGGAGAAATCCTAGGCACGCTCTCAGTGAATCAATTTGGAGGAAGACCAACCATTTCGGCAATCGACGCCCTCCTGAGAACCTTAACACCAATACAACAAAACTTACTACTGAAAAACAGTACCGGAATCGCTCGGCGAGACAGACCAGCGATCCTAACCAACGATATCCAAGGAGCATTCAACTGCGTCGACCACCTACTCCTCGCGGAAATCATGTACCAACAAAAATTCCCTACCTACTTAACAGAATGGTGCAAGGAATTCAATACTGGCAGAAAACTACAGTTTCAGTTTAACCATGAGCTAGAGGAACCACAGCCCTATGATTCTGGAGTGCCGCAAGGTAGCCCCATGTCCCCGGTACTATTCATGATCTATGCCGGAGTAATCCTGGACCCAACAAGTAGCCCGAAAGAGATGGACACCACATATATCGATGACGATGCGCTGGTGCAAATATCCAAAACACCAGGCTTCACAATCAAGAGAATGGAGGAACGAATGAGAGAGAGACTAATAAAAGCTGAGCCACTGTTACGGGCATGCCAAGCATTTACGGGAGTGAGAGAAAGGCTAGTAGATACCCAAATACCCTTTGATACTAATGGCAACACCACTATCAACTCCGGTTCGCATCCACGAGAGGTGGTGCGATCAATATGCGACCAAATGCGGAGTTGCGGTTTTGTTACGGGCATGCCAAGTATTTACGGGAGTGAGAGAAAGGCTAGTAGATACCCCGATACCCTCTAATACTAATGACAACACCACTATCAACTCCGGTTCGCACCCACGAGGTGCGGTGCGATCAATATGCGACCAAATGCGGAGTTGCGGTTTTCCTAGTTAAAAAACACGTTTTCGACCCCAATAATAACCCCCGGAGCGTCAAACCGCCGGAGGGGAGTGTTTTGGTACCGGTGGATATATGAGGGACAGCTGGAATCAATCGGATCGAAGATCGGACCGCTCGGAGCGAATCGGCGCAAGCTGCCAGCCGACCGAGTACCTATCGGCGGTACCTGTGGGCATGAGAGGACTCTGCTATGTGGGAAAGCGATGTGGGAAGAGGCCTGAGTAGGTAGCCTTGCGGTCTGAGACCTCCGAATAGCCGACGCTGACGATTATCGACCAGACGGCCGATGGGAAAGAAACATCGACAGGGAAACGTGCATTAGAGTGGATAAATAGGTTGAGGGGTTTCAGCGGCTTTAGGAGTTTGGGTTACGGACTTAGGAGTTAAATGTTCTTGGTTGTTTTTCAGGGTCTCGGGGATGCCCCGAGTGTATTCTGTATTATTAGTAGACTGGGTCCTCGAGACATAAGCGAGGGATATAAATACTGTGTCATTCACTGACTAGCCAAACCATCATCGGCGAAATCAGAGTCTTAACAATATAAATCGTTGTTACGCGAGTTACAACTTTATTTGACTATACTTTTGGAAATACTTTATTCTATTGTGACTTCGAACTCTACCTGAACTATTACGTCGAAGACGGTCGAACATCACACGCTAACTCTAGTGAATCTTTGTTGATAAGGTAGCTCGCGGGGCCCGTATCGGATCAAGGAGAATCATACTCGACTTTGACTGAAGAGACCTTGGAGACTTCTACCTTTGTAGCTGTTAGCCGAACTCTGAGCTCCGCGTAGTGTACTCTTGTGATCTGGTACGCATCCCTCACAGGTTTTCCTAGTTAAAAAACACGTTTTCGACCCCAATAATAACCCCCGGAGCGTCAAACCGCCGGAGGGGAGTGTTTTGGTACCGGTGGATATATGAGGGACAGCTGGAACTAATCGGATCGAAGATCGGACCACCCGGAGCGAATCGGCGCAAGCTGCCAGCCGACCGAGTACCTATCGGCGGTACCCGTAGGCATGAGAGGACTCTGCTATGTGGGAAAGCGATGTGGGAAGAGGCCTGAGTAGGTAGCTTTGCCGTCCGAGACCTCCGAATAGCCGACGCTGACGATTATCCACCAGACGGCCGATGGAAAAGAAACATCGACAGGGAAACGTGCATTAGAGTGGGTAAAATAGGTTGAGGGGTTTTAGTGGATTTAGGAGTTTGGGTTACGGACTTAGGAGTTAAATGTTCTTGGTTGTTTTTCAGGGTCTCGGGCATGCCCCGAGTGTATTCTGTATTATTAGTAGATTGGGTCCTCGAGACATAAGCGAGGGATATAAATACTGTGTCATTCACTGACTAGCCAAACCATCATCGGCGAAATCAGAGTCTTAACAATATAAATCGTTGATACGCGAGTTACAACTTTATTTGACTATACTTTTGGAAATACTTTACTCTATCGAGACTTCGAACTCTACCTGAACTATTACGTCGAAGACGGTCGAACATCATATGCTAACTCTAGTGAATCTTTGTTGATAACGTAGCTCGCGGGGCCCGTATCGGATCAAGGAGAATTATACTCGACGTTGACTGAAGAGACCTTGGGGACTTCTACCTTTGTAGCTGTTAGCCGAACTCTGAGCTCTGCGTAGTGTACTCTTGTGGTCTGGTACGCATCCCTCACAACCACTCCAAATTAAGTACGACCCGGATAAATCCGATCTGATCTTCTTCCGACCCACCACATCATCCACACAACAACCACGACTTCCGGTCAAAATTAACCATATCAACATACACCCCAAGGAGAGGCTGAAATATGTAGGAGTCTGGATAGATCCGACCCTCTCCTTCCGGCCCCACATCGAAGCAGCGATCGCAAAAGGCCTTAAAGCCCTCCACCAGATCCGATACACCGCCCGCCTGCCAGGAATAACGGTTAAAACAATCCATCACATCATAACACAAGGCTTCCTCCCAAGTCTACTCTACGGATCCGAGGCTTGGTAGACTGGCGCAGACCACATTACAAGATCCCTCGAACCACTATATAATGAAGCGGCCCGGATCATCACCGGCCTACCACGTTGGACCAAAAGAACTAAACTCCTCCGAGAAGCAGGCCTACCCCCCTTAGAACATCTCCTGACATATCGCTCCAGAAAGTACGGAACTAGAATACTCTGCACCGACGTAACCCACCCCAACAACGAATCCCTGATCGAGCTCCTCCCATACAGAGAAGCAAATATCAAAGGAACAGGCTTACACCGAATCGCCTCCCTACTACTCCGATACCAGACCCCCGGAAATGCGAGAGATAAGTGGAACCAAAACAAACTACTACGCGACCACCTGTTAGAAGAATGGAACACACAATCAATACCGAACTACCATCATCGGGGGGAATTCCGCCCCCCTCCCAAGATAGCGAAACTCACCCTTACGGAAGCAAAAAAAGTCTTTCGAATCCGGTGCCAAACCACCCGAATCGACAAACACGCAGTACACACAGACCCCGAACCATGCCAGTATGGTACGGAAAACTCAGCGAAACATATACTTATGGAATGCCCAGCGTGGGCTCGAATCCGCACCCCTCTGATAGAGAAGATCCCCGGACCGATGACCTGGGAAAACTGGATGTTTACAAACCTGAGAACGGACCTTATCCTACAATTTGCGAAACAATCTCAACTCTCGAAATGGTACGAGTCGGCGGAGGCGGAGGCGGACCTGGAAGAGGGGATGGAAGAAAATGATTAGGGACAGGATTAGGAAGGTCAGTTTCCTTTTACTCTTTAAATGTGTTTTTATTTTTCTGTTTTGATGGATCCAGCGCTCGAGTCCGCTGAGATATGTTATTTCTCCTTATCGTTGGGTTTTTCCGGTTGAGTGTTGTTCTGGGATTTCCTTGTTACTGTTCATGCTCGCTTGTGCTTGGTTTCGTTTTTGTTCTTGATCGTTCCTGTTTGCGTTTGTCGTTTGTTGTCCTTTTCCTTTTTCCTTTTCTTTGTTCGGTTCGGTTCGTGTTTTAGGCGGTTGGGTCGGCGTGCGATAAGTCTTGTACTTCAAAGCAATATAAGTTTCTTCTTCTTCTTCTTCTGTACTTCACAGTTACGAATACTATTTGGTTCGCGCTACGTCATAGGGTTTACCTGGACTTCCATACCAGGTACAACCATCCATAGTCCATAGTCCACAGTCCCCGTTCTTGCCTTAGGTGTACCCTTCGGCCCCATAGTCCATAGTCCACGAACTTCCTACGTCTACGTTTTCGCCTCGGTTGTATTCCTTGGCTTCATAGTCCCTACGTCCACAGTCCCCGTTAGACTTAGGTTGCGTCCTCTACAGCCAACCAATACAACACTGCCTCGCTTAACTCTGGTCGCGACCATGTCCGACACCACTCAAGATACGTTGTTACAGCGTCTTTCAGAATTTCTGATCACCTATGGTCCCCTCCCAGGCGATATAGACTTCGGCGAAGAACTTACCGAGGCTCATAGTCTTATTGCTGAGTGTTTGGAGGCTCTCACCAAGCCTCTCGACACCCCCACGCCACCAGAACCCGTCATCGATACGGCCCAGGAAGAGGTTATTACCAGCCTCACCACAGAACTAGAAGCAGCCAACGAAAAGGCTGCCGATTTTTAGCAAACCTTGTGCGATAACCAGGAAGATTCTACCGAGATCATCCGAGGTCGTGACGAGGTTATCGTTGCTTTGAAAATTGAGCTGGAGGAATCGAAGGCTGAAGAAGAAGAGCTTCGGTATCGCCTGGCACTACATCAGGAAAGTCTCGCCACCGCTGACGAGAACCTCGCTGATGCTGAAGATGAGATTCTTCACATCACCTCTGTTGCAAAGGCCTGGGAGGCCCAAGCCAATGTCACCATCGCTGATCTTCGTTCTCGCATCTCTGCCGCCATAGTTAAGCCCCGATCCCGCCATGTCTCTGTTAAACCTCGTTATCTCACCCCTCGCTCCCAAGACCCCCGTACCATCAACAATTGGCGAGAAAAGCCAATTGAACAAGTGTCTCAAAAGCCGGCGTTAAAAGGTCAGCCCCTTTGGTAAAAAATGGCAAACCAAAGGGGCCAGCCCCGCCACCTGTTTCTGTTCTCCCTGCTGCTGCTGTGTCTGAGGATAAAATGTCCGAAGACTCTCTTGTTGTTACCTGTTCGGTCTCTCAGAATCTCGACTCTTTTATTCCCACCTACGCTCTCATTGATACTGGAGCATCAGGATATGCTTTTATCGATGAATCTTTTGTACGCCACAACAATCTCACAATGACCCGCCTTAAAGTACCTCGTCAGGTATATGTTATGGATGGGAGGCCTATTGAATCAGGAAAGATCACCCATATTGTCAATGTGTCGCTGGATATCCATGGTCATCGAGAAACTGCATCATGTTTTGTAACGAAGCTGGGACACTATCCAATTGTGATGGGAATACCTTGGATGCGACGTCACGATGTTACGATTCGGCCGAAGGAAAATTTACTTGTTTTTGACTCTCGAAACTGTTGTCAACACTGTTCACTCAGTGGAACGACAGTCACTGTCCATGGAATATCGATCCCCCTACCGGAACATCATACTGTTGTCGTTTCAGCAGTTGAGAAATCCACCATCGACGTCAAGCAACTAGTACCAAAGGAGTTCCACCATCGTCTCCACATGTTCCAAGAATATGATGCTTCTGTCCTGCCGCCACATCGACCGTCCCATGATATTGAGATCGTATTGGAGGAAGGTAAACGACCTCCATATGGACCAATATACGGCCTATCCCAGATCGAATTAAAAGCGCTACGGGAATACCTTAATGAAAATCTACCAAAGGGATTTATCAGGGCTAGTGAATCACCGGCGGGAGCACCCATACTTTTCGTAAAGAAAAGTGATGGGACTCTTCGACTCTGTGTGGACTATCGAGGTTTAAATGCGATTACTGTTAAAAATCGATATCCATTACCACTGTTAAAGGAAACTTTGGCCAAGCTTTCGAGGGCACAATATTATACCAAGTTGGATCTACGTTGGGGATATAATCAGATCAGGGTAGCCGAGGGAGATGAATGGAAGACGGCTTTCAGGACTCGTTATGGACATTTCGAGTACACAGTAATGCCCTTCGGATTAGCCAACGCTCCGGCCACATTCCAACATTGAATTAATGATATTCTACGACCTTACCTTGATCAATTCGTAACGGCATATCTGGATGATATCCTGATCTATTCGGATACCTTATCGGAACACAAGGACCATATTCAGAAGGTTCTAAAGGTACTTGATGAGAATCATGTTCACCTTAAACCCGAAAAATGCGAGTTTATGGTTCAGGAAACGAAGTATCTCGGCCTTATTCTCACTCCGGATGGGAATAGGATGGATCCAAAGAAAGTTGTTGATGTGTTAGATTGGTCCACACCAAGGAATCTTCATGACGTTCAAGTATTTCTGGGATTTGCGAATTTCTATCGGCGCTTTATCTTGGGATATTCGAAAATTGTTGCTCCGCTTACAGCCTTAACGAAGAAAAATGTTAAATTTGAATGGACAGATGGAAGAGAAGAAGCATTCCAAACATTGAAAAAGATGTTTACAACGGCACCAATCCTAGCGCATTTTGATCCAGATCGAAGAATCGTGGTAGAAACTGATGCGTCAGATTATGTCTCTGCAGGAATTCTATCTCAACGTGATGATGAAGGGATCCTACATCCGGTCGCATTCTTCTCCAAGAAGCATTCCCCTGTGGAATGTAACTATGAAATCTATGACAAAGAACTCCTGGCAATCATACGATGTTTTGAGGAATGGCGACATCATTTAGAGGGGGCACAATTCCCAATTGAAGTTCTTAGCGACCATCGGAACCTCGAATATTTTATGTCAACAAAGTTATTAAACCGTCGACAAGCCCGTTGGTCAGAATTTCTTTCACATTTCGATTTCGTCATTCAATTTAGATCAGGAAAACAAGGGGCGAAACCAGATGCATTGACTAGGAGGTCAGGTGACCTACCTAAAGAAGGGGATGAGCGGTTGACCCATCAGAGTCAAGTAGTGTTGAAGCGAAAAAATTTAGATGCAAAGCTAAGTTTGTTCGCGGGTTCTTTTTCAAATGAATCCGCTGAAGGAATGTCCACTGTAGAAGAGTTGTTTTTAAATGCTTACCAAGTTGACAGTTTCCCGAACAAAGTCCTTGCAATGCTTCGGAATGGCGTCCGTTACTCGAATAAGATTTCGCTTGCTGAATGCACGGAAGACAATAACGGTCGGCTACTTTATCGTGGCGCACTCTATGTACCGGATGACAACGATCTTCGGCTAAGACTCCTAAAGGAACATCATGACAAACCATCGGCAGGCCATCCAGGCAAAGCGAAGACTCTGGAACTCCTGAATCGAGAGTACTACTGGCCACAGATGCGAAAATATGTCGACCAGTACGTTAGGAATTGCAATGTGTGTGACCGTAGCAAGGCACCATGCAATGCACCTTATGGGGTACTTCGACCTATGCCAATACCCGATGGACCATGGAGGGACGTATCAATGGATTTCATTACTGATCTTCCGGAAAGCGATGGATATAATGAGATATTGGTGGTAGTGGATCGACTAACCAAGATGCGACATCTGATTCCCACAACTAAAGAGGCGGATTCAAAAGAAGTAGCGACGTTGTATATCGATAATGTTTGGAAATTACATGGACTCCCTGAAACTATGGTATCTGATCGAGGAACACAATTTGTTGCGGAATTCTGGAGGTCCCTTTGCGATCGTTTGGAAATATCGCCAAAGTTCTCTACAGCGTTTCACCCCCAGACGGATGGACAAACGGAAAGAATCAATGCTGTGATGGAACAATACCTTCGAAGTTATGTTTCTTATCAACAGGACGACTGGGTTCGATGGTTGCCAATGGCCGAGTTTGCAACAAATAACCATGCTTCTGAAACGACGAGAATCTCTCCATTTTACGCCAACTCGGGGAGGAATCCAAGAATGACTTTTGGTCCCTTGGAACATGGTAGGACGACAGCGGAGGATCAGGCTAATAGTATTGCAAGGGAGATGAAGGATATATTAGATTTCCTAAAGGATGAACTATTCCGAGCGCAAAGAATTCGGGAAGAATCGGCCAATATACGTCGAACTCCAGCACCTCACTATCGTGTGGGGGATAAAGTTTTCTTATCGACCCGCTATATCCTTACCAAACGACCATCGAAGAAACTCGATTGGAAGCGTATTGGGCCGTATGCTATTAAGCGAATCGTTAATCCCTATGCCTACGAGTTGGAACTTCCCCATTCTATGAAGGTTCATCCCGTATTCCATGTCTCTTTATTGTCGTCTGCAGCAAACGATCCTTTACCAGGACAACAACAGTTACTACCACCGCCGGTCGAAGTTGAAGGACAGGAGGAGTGGGAAGTCGAGGATATTTTGGATTCCAGGGATCGTCGGGGAAGATTTGAATACTTGGTAAAGTATATTGGTTATGATGAAGCTTCGTGGCAGCCATTGTCGGATGTCGAACACTCGCCCGATATCGTCAAACGATTCCATGAACGTTATCCACGGAAGCCTAAGCCTACCAGGAGGTAGGCCTTAGAGGGGGGAGTGGTCTGTAACGGCAGCTAGGCGGGTTGGCTATGTGAGTTGTCTGGGTATAAGGGAGAAGGATTATGCAGTATGGTTGGTTTTAGTGAAGTGGGTTTCTATTATGTTCTTTCTGTTTCTGTTATACGAGGGTATGAGTCAGCATTGGGATTCTCAAGGGGGTGAGTAGCGAGTATTCCGCAGGGTACGAAGAATGTAATAGGGAACGGTAGGGGAGCTCGCAATAGGGATGCTACGGAGCTCTTAGCGTTGGTAAGGTTCGACGAGACGAGGAGGAAGCGAGGCGGTGGTCTTCTTAAGGAAAGAAGAGGACGATGATATTATATAGTAATAGACAGCGTAGATACAGAAAACGTTGCGTAAAGAAAGAAGAAGAAGAAGAAAAAGACAAAATACAAACAAAACCCCCCTTAATATACTCAAGGAAATCCCAACGATGACAAATCCAACCTGACTCATACATTAACAATCAACGGAACCCGGTAGAACCCAATAGAACCTTTCTGACTAATCCGACTCTTCATAACCCCGTACCTCCACTAGTCGATCCATGAAAGTAGCCCCTCCCTTCAAGCGCGAGCTCCTGCGAGCCTTAACCTTAATCTTTCCTTCCAATGGTCTAGGTTTGTCGGGGTAGCGTATGTGGAAGATATCAACGGCGGCGGTATTATCGTGGTATGCGGCGGGTTCCCAGGTAGGGTCGGTATAGCCCGTCTACTTAACAAAGTATTGCAGGCCAGTGTTCCGTAATTCTCGCGAGTCCAAGATTTCCTCAACTGCATACTCCTCCTCTTGTTCGACGATAATGGGCGGGGGTGGTGGTTGAGTTTGCCCTGGGACGGGATCATTCGCAGCGGGGTCTAACAATGATACGTGGAAGACGGGGTGCACCTTCATACTTCTAGGCAGGTCGACTCGATACGCGTATGGCGATATAATTTCCTTAACGGGGAATTGTCCCAGTTTCTTCCAGTCCAGCTTCCGGGAGTTACGCGTGGTTCAGATGTTTTTTGCTGAAACAAACACCATATCACCGACATCGTACCGTGGGGCCGGCGTTCGTTTAGTATTGACGGCCTGCTCCTGTTGATCCTGCGCTGTGCGGATATTGGAACGTAGGTGCTCGTGGAGCTCCTTCATCTTCGAGGCGAAGTCTTTAGCATTGAGACTCGGCGGGGTCTTGTCAAGCGATTTGATCGTCACTGTAAACCGGGGGTGGAACCCATAATTCGCGAAGAATGGTGTAGCTTTAGTGGATGCGGAGACCTGATTGTTGGCGGAGAATTCTGCCATAGGAAGCCATTTTACCCAATCGTCCTGTTGATAAGAGACATACCCACGTAGATATTGCTCCATCACAGCGTTCAGCCTTTCGGTTTGGCCGTCGGTCTCCGGGTGGAAGGCGGTGGACATCCTTGCCTCGATATTGAGGTGTTTACAAAGAGCCTTCCAAAACTTAGCTGTAAATTGAGTACCGCGGTCGGAGGTGATATGTGTGGGTAGCCCATGGAGCTTCCATATGTTTCGCAGGTATAGTCGGGCGACGTCTTCGGAGTTAACAGTAGTATTGCAGGGCAGGAGATGTCGCATCTTTGTTAGCCGGTCAACCACTACCATAATTGCATCGTACCCTTCACTTTCCGGTAGGCCAGTAACGAAGTCCATCGATACCTCCTGCCATGGTTGTTCGGGAATCGGTAAAGGTCGAAGTACGCCGAGTTTTCCATGGGTGTTGGGTTTGCTTCGTTGACAGGTATGGCAGTTCCGAACGTAGCGGGCAATATAATTTCGCATGAGGGGCCAGTAGTAGTCCCGACTGACGAGTTCGAATGTTTTTTCGCGTCCCGGGTGTCCAGCAGAGGCAGCGTCATGGTAAAGTTGGAGGATTCGAAGTTTAAGAGGGTCGTAATCAGGGACATATATGCTGCCTCGGTAAAGCAATCGGGCTTCAATCTCGGTGCATTCGGCGAGTGATATGTCCTTTGATTGTCGATCGCCTCTATTCCGCATATCCAGTATTTTTTGGGGAAACGGGTCAGCGCTATATCCTTCGTCGAATAATTCCTGCAGTGAGGCGTTCTTTTCAGCGGGCTCATTTGAGAAAGAACCCGCCAACAAACTTAGCTTTGCATCGAGATTCTCCTTCTTCAACACAACTTGACTCTGATGCGATTGTCTTTCATCCCCCTCTCCAGGGAGATCTCCTGATCTTCTTGTCAACGCGTCCGGTTTCCCTCCTTGTTTCCCTGGTCGGTATTTAATAACAAAATTAAATCGTGACAGGTATTCTGCCCACCGTGCTTGTCTCCGGTTGAGTTGTTTGGTACTCATAAAGTATTCGAGATTCTTATGATCGGATATGACGGCGATTGGGTGTGCAGCCCCTTCAAGTTCCGGTCGCCACTCCTCAAAAGACCGAATGATTGCCAGTAATTCCTTGTCGTAAATCTCGTAGTTGCATTCGGCGGGGAGTGTTTTTTCGAGAAGTACGCAACAGGTCAGAGGATACCATTGTCATCGTATTGGGAGAGTACACCGGCGGAGACATAGTCAGATGCGTCGGTTTCCACAGTAATTTCCTTTTCCGGGTCGAAATGAGTGAGAATGGGCGCCGTGGTAAAGGCTTCTTTCAGGGCATTGAAGGCGGTTTGGGCTTCGGGTGTCCATCCAAATGATGTGTCCTTACGTGTCAGTCTGGTAAGAGGAGAAGCCAGTTCCGAGAATCCGCGTATGAATCGGCGGTAAAAGTTAGCAAAACCTAGGAATGCTTGTACATCCTTAACTGTTTTGGGGACGATCCAATTCTTCACCGTCTCCACTTTCCTTGGGTCCATTTTAATACCATTGGGTTCGATAATCAGGCCGAGATGGGTGGTGCTTTGTGTGTGAAATTCGCATTTCTCCGGTTTCAGCAGTATTCCATTTCTTTGTAGGGCTTCCAGTACTTTTTCGACGTGTACTTGATGTTCCTCGAAGGTGTCGCTGTAAACAAGGATATCGTCAAGGTAGGCTGTACAGAACATATCAAGGTAATCACGGACGCAATCATTAATAAAATGTTGAAAGGTGGCTGGTGCGTTGGTGAGGCCGAAGGGCATTACGGTGTATTCGAAATGTCCGTAACGCGTTCGGAAGGCTGTTTTCCATTCTTCACCCTCAGCCATTCGAATCTGATTGTACCCTTGGCGAAGGTCAAGTTTGGTGTACCACTTTGCTTTGGAAAGGCGGTCGAGAGTTTCCCGGATGAGTGGCAGCGGGTAGCGGTTTATGACAGTAAGTTCGTTGAGACCACGATAGTCGACACAAAGGCGGAGTGTTCCATCGGCCTTTTTAACAAATAGGACAGGGGCACCGGCAGGCGAAGAGCTGGCCTGAATGAACCCCTTTTGAAGGTTGTCCTGTATGTATTGTTTCAGCACGATGAGTTCCTCGCGGGACATACCATAAAGTGGCCCAAAAGGGGTCTCTTTCCCTTCCTTGAGCGGTATCTTATGATCATAGGGGCGGCGAGGCGGCATCCCGTTAGCAAATTCTTCGTCCATCATTTTATAAAATCTCTTATACCGGGTTGGGACCCGGTTCCTCCAGTCTTGCTTAGGGGCCTCGCCCGTTGCTTGATCTATTTCCTTAATAGTTGTACTAAAGATTTGGAGTTTGTCTCTTCGAGCAAAGCGACAAAGAGCAGCTGAACTGACGAGGTGAAAACGGGGCGGTGGTGCAACTCCTCTAATGGGAACGGGTATCGGGGAAGAGTTGCACTTGCGTTTGCAGTATTCGGAGTCGAACAGTATGCTGTTGTCCTTAAACCGTAATGTTGCGTCGTGCAATTGAAGCCAGGGGATTCCGAGGACAAGGGGATACGAGCCGAGTTTGGTGACGAAGAAAGGGGTAGTTTCGTGGTGGGAGTCAATGGATAGCGGTAGATAGCAGAGGTGGGTAATTTGTCCGGAAGATATGGGCCGACCGTCGATGACTTCAAGAGTGCGGGGTGATTTGAGGGGGAGAAGTGGGAAGTTGTTATGGCGCGCAAATGTTTCATCAATGAATGCGAATCCGGAGCAACCGGTATCGATCAGTGCGTGGGTTTGAATGGATGTTTTATTGTTTATAATTTTACAAGAAGCAACAAAATGATCCCCATCCAATTTATCCTCCACAGACGATACCGAGAAGCCAGAGATAGAAAACGCAGACAAAGGAGAAACATTGGAAGGTCCCGGGCAGGGGCCATTAATCAAGCCCGGGACTACTGAAAACCCGACTCAGAGGAGGCGGGACTAGCGACCGGTGGAGCAGCGGGGTCGATGTCCGTATGGCTGGGTGCGAGGAGGGCGCCTCTCATCACCGGTTGGTTACCGCGTGGGCGGTTGGCAGAGGGGCAGTTGGCAAAGACATGACCGGGGTTGGCACAGTACATACAGAGATTGTTGTCCCTTCGCCATTGTTTTTCAGCGGTAGAGGTTTTGCGTTGTCCATTGACAAAAGTATATCGTTGTTCAATGGCAGGACGTTGAGTGGGGCGGCTTTGGAGAGCAGAGAGGTCCATTGGAGCGAGGCCTCCGGCGGTATGAGATGGGTGTGCAACAGCAGCGGGGGCGGTGAATTGTCCCATTGTATTCCGAATCGCCCGTTGTTCAGCTTTGCGGCCCCGAACCAGGTTATCGATTGTCATCAACATGGTGGCATAAGCTTCGACGGTGTTAGGCCTGTCTGTCCGGTATGTCATAGCGTCCTTCAGGTCTTCCGACAGTCCTTCGGCCAGGGCATCGATCTTGGCTCCCTCGTTGTAGTCTAGGTATGCCACGATGCGGAGGAACTGCGAATAATAGGTAGCGAAGTCCCCTTTGCCTTGCTTCAGGGCAACAAGTTGGCGGCGGGCGGTACCCCGGGGGTCTGGGTCTCCAAACGAGGCTTCCAGGTGGGCAACAAAGGCAGTGACGGAGGAGAAGGGGGCGGCAGGGTGAGCGTTAACGAGTGGAACGACCTGGTCAAGGGCCCTTCCTTCCAAGCGGCTGACGGCATAAATAACCTTTGCTGCCTCGTTTCGGAACCGATCGTGGTTGACTTCAAGTTTCATTCGAAGTTGGGTGGTGAATCCGGGGAGCTTGGTGCGGGTGCCATCGAATTTTTCAGGGTCTGGGAACTTTTCGGACCTGAAGGCGGGGACAGGAGCAGGTGGGGGAGCAGCGGCGACGGGGACAGCGACGGTAGGGGCGGGGGCAGCGCGGGCGACATTGAGGTCAAGGTTGAGCCGGTTTATCTGCTCCTCGAGGTTGTCGATGGTTTCATTGGCGGCAGTGAATTGTGTATGAAGGGTGTCCCTTTGGAGGCGGACGCGCTGGACGAGGGTGGCGATGTTGTCGAATAGTTCAGCAGGGCCGGCCTCATACATCTGCCTGAATTCCTCTAAATCTTTGGGTGCATTCCATGCAGGTGGGTCGGAGGTGGACATATCGTACGGTGCGGATGACGACGCAACGTAATCTCAAGGGGGTGAGTAGCGAGTATTCCGCAGGGTACGAAGAATGTAATAGGGAACGGTAGGGGAGCTCGCAATAGGGATGCTACGGAGCTCTTAGCGTTGGTAAGGTTCGACGAGACGAGGAGGAAGCGAGGCGGTGGTCTTCTTAAGGAAAGAAGAGGACGATGATATTATATAGTAATAGACAGCGTAGATACAGAAGACGTTGCGTAAAGAAAGAAGAAGAAGAAGAAAAAGACAAAATACAAACAAAACCCCCCTTAATATACTCAAGGAAATCCCAACGATGACAAATCCAACCTGACTCATACATTAACAATCAACGGAACCCGGTAGAACCCAATAGAACCTTTCTGACTAATCCGACTCTTCATAACCCCGTACCTCCACTAGTCGATCCATGAAAGGGATAGGGTATGGATATATAAGGGGGGGCGTTGTCTCGTGATTTCTTGTTTCTCTTTCTTTCTCTTTTCTCTTTACGCAACCTCTGTACTTCACAGTTACGAATACTATTTGGTTCGCGCTACGTCATAGGGTTTACCTGGACTTCCATACCAGGTACAACCATCCATAGTCCATAGTCCACAGTCCCCGTTCTTGCCTTAGGTGTACCCTTCAGCCCCATAGTCCATAGTCCACGAACTTCCTACGTCTACGTTTTCACCTCGGTTGTATTCCTTGGCTTCATAGTCCCTACGTCCACAGTCCCCGTTAGACTTGTCAACGAGACTACTGGCCCAGTGTTTCATTCATTACAAAGCATAATTGTGTGTTTTCTTACTAGTGACCCCCATACGATGAAGAAAGCAAAAGGTGCGTCAAGGAATCAATTACGAATGGCTTATGGGTAGCCAGTATCTATGGGATATCTTCCTTTAAAGGATGGACCATCTCCTAAATAGATTAATTATACAGTCTAGACTGTTATCTATAGATATAGCATTACGCGCATCAAATTCATACATGACGGAACCTGTTATTAGTATAACTACTACAACTATAACGCTGATAAACTTTATCATTTTCCGATAACTTCGGGGAAGTATGAGAAACTCAATTGCACAATACCAGGATTTACTGCGTCTCAAGTGTGGATGAGCATCATAGATTCTCACTCGTAGGAATAATAAAAATTAACAGCAAAGTACTAAACTCAAGCACAACCGTGGAGGGTAGTTTAGTACTTTGCTCAAAAATCAAGGTCAATTATATAACTAACAAACGACTGCTGCTTGTCAAGAGTTCAATATTACCCACCTACAAGTATTGACAAGGATAAAACTAGATACAGGAACTACAAGCCTAAACGTCCGCATCCGCACCAAGATAGTTCGGCGAAGCATCTAGAAGCCAATCCATCTGGATAGCCGATACTGACCTTGCAAAAGGCCTTGTTGTATATACGAACTCGTGATACATAATGGCCTCTACTTTCTTCCCAAAGAGTACACTACTGGGGTGTATTGCGACAGTCCGAGAGCCCAGGACTGTCCGGTATGAGCCATCGGGCACGAGACGTGCAGTGTTGTGAAAGAAACCTTTGAGGAAACATTTCAAGATGCGAGTGCCGTTCTCGGGGGTGATTAGCGTTTCGAGAGGGACAGTCTCTTGAATAGACGACATAATGCGTTGACAATATTGGCGTAGTTGTTTTCGGACGTCCTAGTAATACTTAGCAGGCATTATGACATATAGAAAATAGGGCGGCTTACAGCCCAATTCAACAGCGCTCTGTGGGACACAAAATGTTTCTCCGCCCACGCCTTTTTATGCGACTCCTGCGCTTCCCATCCTCTCACCACCTGCAATAGCATCAAATGATCACCCTCCCGCCTCTCAAATTCCTTCCTAGCCTCATCCATCTCTTCCCTCTTGTCCTCGCTCTGAGGGGTCACGAACAAATTCTCCACCGATAGCGCTGCAATGATATCAATCGCCTCTGGCAAGCACCCCATCTCCTTTTCCGCAGCAGCAATAAGCACCCTCGCCAGAGCTGGTGACAACGGCAGCATCGCCATTTTACGTCCTAGGCCGTTAATATTCCCACTATTGTCTAGAGCGCCCAGCGAAAATAGTTGTTCTAGTCCTTTGATAAGGGACTCGCGCGTTGGTGGGTCGATATAGTCGAACCCCAGTACGTCCTCCTGTCCACGAGCTTTTAGCGTCAAGATCGCAGTGGCAATATCGCAGCGCAGGATTTCGGGGACGGTGGCTTCCTCAAGCGTGAGAAATTGCTCCTCAGTGAAGAGGCGGAAGCATTTACCCGGTGCTTCACGGCCGGCTCGACCGGTGCGCTGCATCGCAGAGGATTTTGAGACGGGCGTTACAAGAAGTGACTCTAGTCCAATGCGGGGCCGGTATTGTTTCGTTTTAACCTTGCCGCAGTCAATGACGTGCCGGACACCTGAGACGGTCACAGAGGTCTCGGCGATATTGGTAGCCAAGATTACTTTGCGCATGTTACGCTCTGGGGCAGGTTGAAAGACCTTCTGTTGTTGGACTTGGGGGAGGGCGGCGTAGAGGGGGAGAACGTGGATTTTGGGAACGTTTTTGTCCATGGCTTTTGCATAATCCTCAACGAGCTTCTGTAGGGCTTCAATCTCATCCTGACCTGTCAAGAATACCAAGATGTCACCGGGCATTGGCTCCCCATAGTGGATTTGGAAGATTGTCCGGAGAGCTGCATCGACATAGTCTGCCACTGGCTCGGGTGAGTGGTATAATTCCACTGGAAACTGTCTTCCGGGGACTTGGAATCTTGAAACTGTGCTAAGGATTTCCGTAACCTTGGCTTCCTCGGTGCTGTTGTCTTCCTCTTCATCGCTGATATGGCAACCAGTAAATTCATCCTCGTCACTTGTATCTGTGCGTGTAATAGCCCGGGAGTCGTTCTGGTTGGTAGAGCTGTTTCCATTACCATATATGTCATTTGCGTCTCGGTCTTTCTCAAAGAACCATGCCATTCGCCCAACTTCAATTGTGGCACTCATGACGACCAGTTTCATATTAGCACCAGAATTCTCTCCCCGCGCACCATAGACAAGATTTCTTAAGAAGCCCATGATCAAGTCGGTCCCCACTGTCCTTTCGTGTGCTTCATCGACAATGATTGCCGAATATTGTTTCAACAGCGGATCATGTAGCATTTCCTGTAGCAGCATACCATCTGTCAAGAATTTAATTCTGGTCTTCTCTTTACTCGATTTATTATCGAACCTGACCGTATATCCGACTTCCTCTCCCAGATGAACCCCCATCTCCTGCGCAACACGCCGGGCAAGATTGATAGCAGCCACACGACGAGGTTGAGTAATCGCTATGCAACCACCAACCAATAACTCTCTCCCTTTAGAATCTCGAATCTTCCGCTTCTGCATCCATGGTTCATTAACCAGAAATTGCCCTATCTGCGTACTCTTACCGCTACCAGTCTCTCCCAGCATGACCAGTACATTCTTCTCACGAAGAGCGCTTCGCAGATCATTCCGGTGCTCCCAGATTGGTAGATTCTCCCGCTGTTTCCGCAGATTGGTAGCCTGGCCCTTCAATTGTCCTTTATGGGGTATATTTGCCGGCGCTGGCGGAGACAATTTAGGCGGCAAGAATGAACTCGCAGTGATTGTTACACCGCTGAGGAGTGGGAATGACGCTGGACCATCGCTGTTTGGCCGCCTCTTTTTCTTGGCCTCATGAGTATGGCCACTCCCGGCGGCCTCCCTTTCAAGTTGCCGTTTTTTTTTGTTCTGGAGGAAGGTGACTTCCGGGTCTTCTGCTTCAGCTTTTACATTTTCCAGCTGTACATCAATGTTCTTCCTATCCTTCTTAGAATTCGTGATTGGCGCCGTATCAGCAGTGCGGGCTTCCGCAATCTGCCGGGCCTTCTCTTCTTCCTTCTTCTGCACCTCCGCCTCATGCTCCGCAAGGCGGCCCTCCTTTTCTGCTATAGCACGGGCTTCGGCTTCGCGGGAAAGACATCTGGCAAGCCATTTTTCCTTCTTTTGCTCTTCCCTTAGTTGGCGTTTGCTCTTTCCGGGGTGCTCCGCGGCAGAGGATGAAGGCGAGGGCTGCGGCAACGCTGATTCCTTCACTATTGTTCCGCTTCGTTTGGATTTCTTAGGCTTCTTACTTGATCCAGCGCTGTTTATGTCGGTTTCATGTGTAGATGTACAAGACCCTGTTTCGGGGGCAGCCGTGGGAGCACTACTCGGTTTGGGTACGGAAAATATGTTGACTAGGGCCTTCGAGTTGGACTTGCCTGTCAGACCATCTTCGAAAGCGAGTTTGAGTTTTCCGAGCATTTTAGGGTTTGGGAAGGTGTAAATATAAGCCTATATGGGGCTAAGAAGGCATGATATCAGGGCTGAAGAAGTCGGTGAGAGCTTGCTGAGGGCGGGATGAAATCTTAAATTTTTTTTTTTTTTGAAGATTACTGAATTGGCGGGATGAGTGACATTAGTCTTGCAAGGATGGATGATTTAAGGGTTAGGGTTTTATGAATCAGAATCTTGGTTGCATGTACCCGGGGGTCCCTAAAAGTGATGCAATGTTAACATTTTAACACACTAAATACATAAGATAGATATTCTAATCATATGCATGACACAGGAATCTCTAGGATAGAATCTTCATTTTTTAAGTCATTAATTTGTATTTTTTTAGCCTACAAAAGGGACAACTTCCGACCAACAAAGGTGATAAAAGGACAAGCAACAGCTATTCATAATATCTCTTGCCAAAACTATGATCCCCACCTTGTAAATTATCATAAGTCCACTTCGCATCTTGTTGGCTAGTTTCGTTGTTGAAAAATATGGATTATATGATCGTTGCATCACTTATCGGGACCCCCGGGTACATACATTGTCATGTAATCTCATTTCTAAAGTAGAGGACGGCACAGTTCTTTCCTGAGTAGCAGCAAGCTCAAAGTCTACATGTACCTTAACCGTAAAGAGCGCATCAGGAGAACGAATGAGGGAAAAATATTTATTCTCAATATGCAGTACTCCTCAAACTCCTTCGGACAGCTTACACGCAGCTATTGCTAATACATCAGTTCGTCCCCTTCATCATCATCATCGTCGATCCTCGCAGTTAATGGGCCTGCTAGACCTTGCATTCTCCTACCCACCAAGTCAATCTCACTACCCAGGCTACCATTACTACCTTTTCTACCACGCCCTCTTCCCCTGCTTACCCCATTGGTCTTGGCTCTGCCTCTTCCGGGAAGAAGTGCCATTTCTAAAGGCTTGTCCTCATCCCCACTTGTCATACTTCCTCCTGTAAAGCTTCTTTCGTGATTTCTCCAGGTACCATTTCCCAACTTTTCACCGTCTTCAGGCTTATCTTCCAATATTTCTCTGAGCCATGCGGCACACTTACTGATCTCCCGGGCTGCCTCGGGATACAGTGCTCCCATCTGTAAGAATCCATGACTGATCCCGGGAATCAAACTAACTTCCACCCCATCATCTGACAAGCTGTACCGGTGCTCCAGCCCCATGTCTCGCCGATGGCGCCAGACGTCTTGTTTGGCTTGTCTGATTCTGCCAGCAAAAATGACGGTGTCGTCAACTAAGGGATCTCGTTCTCCCGTGAGGAAGAAGGTCTTAGGAAACCGTGCTAACAAGCTCTCGGGGGCGACGATTGGAGAGAGAAGAAAGTCGGTGGTGAAGTCAGGACGGTTATGGGGGCCAATGTAGAGAATTACCATCGCGCGCATCATCTCCGGAGTGAGGATACGGTCATTGAAGTATGAGAGCCGGGATGCCATTGCAAGTCTTGTTGAAAGTGGCTTTGGTTTGCTAGTAATAGTAGTGGTAACTTTACTATCGTCGAGCTTTTTATCCAAGTCCACTCTCGGGATCACAGTCTCATTTCCTATGGATGGTTCGGTATCGCTTTCCTCATCCTCATCGATGTCGTCGTCCCTCCCCTTTACCTCTGGTTCAATGCCGCTGGCCTTCTCAAAATATTCGCTTTTTCTTTTTACGACATTCTTGTTTGTTCTCCTCATACCCTTTTGGCGAACTAGTTTCATCTGGTCATCACTCATCCAGGAACTGATGCTCAGATCCAGGGATGGGTAAATTAAAACTAGACCATCCGGTAACGGGAGGCCTTGCCAACCCTCTTCCATCAAATGACCTGTAGAACTAGTACTAGTAGAATTGAGGATCATTAGAGTAACCCCAGCCGCATAATTCCCTCCTGCCGAATCCCCACTTAACGCTATTCTTGGTAGGACTTCCCCAGATAATCCAACGCACGCACCCTGTGTGTAGACGATACTATGATAAACATCATAACACTCGTTGAGGGCGTATGGATATGGAAATTCTGGAGCGAGTTTATAGTCCACGGCAATAACAGGAATCCCAGGGCACTTTCTAGCCCAATAGAGAAGAGAATCATCATAATGTCGAGGTGACATTGAGACGAAGCCTCCGCCGGGAAAATCAAGAATTATCTTCTTGCATGCTTGGAGTTCCTCTCGGGTTCCTTCAAAATATATCCAGGCGTCGACAGGTGTACGATATACCGATTCTTTAGGACGGGAAATGCGGATGTGACGAGGCCCAAACTTATTAGGGCTTGGATGAAGGAAGTTCGTAAGTGCTTTGAGATATGGAGTTGTAGATTTGTTCCAAGATATACGCATATGCTCGACAGTAATTGTTGCACGTACTCGACGAACCTAGAAAATTGATTCAATTAGTTGTCTTTACTTAAAGACAAAGGATAATGAATGATAATTTACTTTTTCATCTGCTCTTTCGGCCGCCACCAGATAATACATGCTAAAGATTATACTGCACAAGTCTCTCAACCACTTGCTTTTTATTCTCATGGCAGTCCAGAAGCCAGCATCTAGCGCAGTCATGACCCAGGTTGCGCGGAAATATGATCTTGTATATAGATTTGCGAGTGGTTCTGGGGATTCGAGATTAAGCAGCTTTGCAAAATTTCGAGAGACATACAAATACAGCAGTGTCAATGTCACAAGCTGGAATGAAGTCAGGCGTTTGCTGAAGTAACGGGAGATCCTTCGGATGAAAAGTATAGGCGGCCCATGTGAGTTTCCACGCAGTAAGTATCCGGTCCAAAAGAGAAGGACTGATATCACTTGAACTTTGCGAAATCGCCGCGAGGGGCGGCCAAGAACGTGATCTGGTTAATTTCCAAAAGTTATTATGAGCCTCCTCTTATCTTTTTTCTCGAATAGGAGAACATCCTCAAACAACAAAACTATGCCATGGTGGGCAATTAAAAGATATGTAACTTACCAATCATTAAGAGTGACTGGGCAACATAAATCTACCAAATATCTCCAGGAACCAAAACAATAAAAATCCTATAAGGTCAAGAAAGGCCTGTAATCTAGTAACAAGAAGTATAAAGAGATGCGTGTATGTGAGAGTGGTGAAGAAATAAAGGAGAGCACAGTATTGACGGGGGGTAAGAGGTTTAACTAGACCACCTGACCAATCCTTACAGTAGAATCACCCCGGAACACTCTGGCGCCATAAACGCATCTGGATCACTGATCTTGGCTATCAAGTATATCTACTGTAGGACTGTGTTGTCCCGGGCTTGTTCAAAAGGCATTCTCGGGACAAAATCAATAATCAGCATGTGGAGGAGCGGAGAAAATCACATTCAGCAGCCGAGAACGCGGGGAGACATGTATTTCCCGACATCTCTGTTGACAGTTGTTGTGTGTGGGGGGACCTTCTGACATGTGAAAGTCATCTTCACATGTCAATACCTATGCCGTCATAGATCCGTCGGTTGTGAGGCTGATTTCCCTGCATGATACTTCTGGACTTGGCGCCAGGATCCTTGCAGTCCTAAGCTGGCGAATGTTGGGGTTCAGATCACGGGGGTTACATGTAGGTACCTAGTTACCATCACTCGGTGTTTGAAGTTCTTAACTCTGCTCCCCTTAGGATGCATGTACTTATCCTAATTTAGGCGTCTGGTTCGTTCTTGATACTGCACTACAGTCGTTCACCGTCTCTTGACGAATACTGCCACTTGACAAACAGGGGTCCCAATTATGGCAAGAAACAGTCAAGCTGCGGGATCTCCAGTTCTCTTAGCACAAAGTCCGCCCTGTCCGTCAACCGCCAGCATTCGTGAACGACCGTATGGGATACAACTTCTCTAACCTTCAATTTTCCCGTCATGAAACATTTGAGGATCGAAAGATAGCATACAGTTACCCTCCGCTATAACGAAGTTCAAAGATTCAGATTACCAAACCCGTTGGTTACAGCAGACTTGTTTTTATTTTTGGCGTTCGGTATGGCCACTGTATTCCATCAAATATGCTATGCGAGAATCGAAGAAATTTGAGGTCGTGACACATTCTCGAGAACTACATACCATATGTATACATGTACTCGTTTACTCCGAAAAGAACCAGAAAATGCAGTTGTTTATAGGCAATGAAAATAATCCCTGTCTCCATCATTTGCATTTTCTGGAGCATAATTAAGGTGTCACAAATGAGGTTTTGTGACACCCTAAATTGACAACCGCCAAGAATCCTGCGCGTGAAAGACACGCGGCGGATAAAGGAACGCGTTTCCTACTGAGTGACATCACAATACCTCCCATCCCACCGCAATAATCAGCAATGCCTCTTCAAAGTAGGAAACGTCGTTCCGTGAGTTTTATAATTTCACACCATTCACACTATAACGAAATAATAATTTGGTTTCTCTTTTAGCAACCTGTAGAAGACTCTGACGATCCTGACCCTAGTCCTCCTCAGCGCCGCAGACTTACGCAGAAGCAATTCCAACCTCAGCGACGGAATGGAGAATCTTCTACACAGGGTGCTAGGGCAAATAGAAGACTTGAAACCCCAGAGGATGATGAGGAAGATGATGCCCTAAGTGGTGATGAGGAGCTTGGAGACTCGCACGGTGGGATTTCTATCTTATATTTTACGAATAGTACAGAAACTTATTACATTATCTAGAGGGGACAAATAAGGATCGTTTGGTCAAAAAACTTGTTAGATTAGCACTCGCTTCAGAATACATTAGGCAGCCACTGAAGCGGACTGATATCTCGAGTAAAGGTTTATAATTATAACACTTCCAGACCGTGGAGATCTGGATATACGGTTTGTTAATTTGTTCGCAGTTCTCGGCACCCAGGGAAGAATGTTCAAAAACATTTTCGATCAAGCGCAAAGAGAGCTACGGGAAGTATTTGGAATGCAGTTGGTTGAGCTACCGATGCGGGAAAAGACAAAGTTGAGCCAACGCAGAGGTATCATCAATCAATGTCACTTTCCCCCATCTACATCGTGTTAATTTGAATCGTAGCTGCCCAGAATTCAGATAGAGCACCTAAATCATCCAAACAGTATCTGTTGCAAACAGTCTTACCTCAGCCATTCCGCGAGCCTGAAATTGTCCAGCCTCATGGATTTAGGGAACAAACATATACCGGACTTGTTACGATGATCGTTTCTCTCATCTACCTTAATGGTAAGGTTCTTCCAGAGAATAAACTAATCAGATATCTTACGAGAATGAACGCCGATGATTATACCCCGATCGACAAGACGGAAAAGATAATAGCGTTGATGGTCAAGCAAGGATATATTACCAAGCAAAAGGATGACACAGGTGATGGTGGACATGATTACTATCTTGGGCCAAGGGCAAAAATGGAGATTGGCTCTGACGGCGTCTTGAATATATTGAAAACAGTAGGTGTACACTCATGGCTAATCATGCGCATAATCTAACTTCTGTTTCCCAGGTTTATGGAGTCAAAGCTCCGGAAGACTTGGAGAAAAAATTACAACGAAACATAGGTCCTGATTTGGATGCAATTGTGGCTGATGGGGGACCTTCACAGAAAAGGGTAAGAGGAGGAGGTAGGAAGACGGCCACACAAAACGACGACGAAGATGATTAGGAGTGTATGGTAATAAAAAAGAAATAGGTAGTAGTGGCTATGTGCGTGTTAAAACGATAGCCGGCGTTGTAGGTATCAATAACTTGAATTTTCTTTCATAATGGGTTACTCGAGGAAGGCAGAGGAGCAATAGTAACTTGCAAGTATATTAAGTTTTTCTCAGCTCTTAGCCTGCGGTCCAAAGAGACCATACGTAAATATGAGGGTTCCCATCGGCATCGGGGCTACCAATACATGTAGTAACTTGATCAATCTATCAATTCATACATGCACAGAGCCTGGCCTGCTTATCAGAATTATCTCAAGAGCTCGGGGTAGCCCCTAAAGCCAATATCACTATGACCAGTTAATCCTCCTTTTCCGGCGGTTTTCCGACAGGGCGTATCATTCTCTAAAACAACCAGCATTAGTATTACTCCCCGATGGACAGCTGGACGTAAGAAACCTCAATAAACTTAGTTCTCATCTTTGCCATAGATTCACCAGTGGCAACCGACATATATTCCAATAACGGGGGATGGCCAACATAGGTTGCAAGCGTGTCCCGGTGCACGTTTGAGACCCATTCGCTTTTCAATTATCAGTTGATAGCTCCAGGTTAACGCAAGTACACAGAGGAGGCTTACAATTTCGTTGTATCGGCGTGTCCTGTACCAATATAGCGGGCTTGGAGTTGTTCAAGCTGCTGCGTAGCGCGGAGTTTATCGGCCATGTTATAGACCGGGAGGTGGAGGATGTTAAGGTTTAAAGCTCACCAGGTGAATGATGACCTGTTAGATCGAACGGGACGCGTTAGGAGGTTTACTCGTAAAAATATATGCCAAGCCTCACCTGGCCTGATGGAGTACCTACATATAGTACTGTAGAGTAGAATAGCACGTGACTAAACGGGCGTTGAGCCTCAATCGCACAAAAAGAAAATAATAAATAAGTACATGTACCTACTCGTAGTTTGTTTCCGGACTGGATTGGGTCTGCATATGGGCGTAAATCGTGCTTGACAACCATATTTTGGTGGTATACAGACCCAGTCCAGTCCAGAAACGCCAAAAAACTACGAGTACAGTACCCACATAAGTGGTGGCAGTGGCAGTGGCTGAAATACTTTACATAGAGTAGAATCTCACTGTAATGTCAACATACTAACCAGGCAGGCGTAGTACTACATATCAAACACCCCATGATTTGCTTTGATCCTTGCCTTTTTAAATTTTTCAAGACCCTATCAAAAATACATCCTCTATTGTACATACATCCAGCTATTTAATAAAACAGGCAGAAGAAGAATTAGCTAATAACTGGATTCATGATTCTCAACACATTGTGATGGCAAAAAGGAAATGAAAAATGAAAAACGAAAGCCCATAGGTAAATGTCAAGAGAAGTGAAAAACTCCAGATACATGTAAATATAAAAGCTCAATACTACTGAATTTATACAGCATTTACCGACCTCTACCATATCCCCCAAAACTAGGCGGCGGACCTGGGGGTGGGAATCCAGGAGCCCCTGGAGGGGCACCTGGAGGTACTTGTCCTGGAAATCCTTGCAGTTGGGGTGGCCCTCCAAATCCTGCTGGTAATGGAGGAGGCTGTCCTGCAAACCCACCAGGATGCATCTGCTGGACGAATCCCACAGGTGGGGGTGGGGGTCTCCCATATTGATGCTGTTGATGCTGTTGAAATCCAACTGGAGGCGGAGGCCTTGCTGGAAGTCCCTGCGGGGGGGGAGCAAGTTGTGGCTGATGGGGCTGCATCTGTTGCTGATGTTGAGGGGGCGGACCGCCAGCACCACGGCCCATTTGCTGCTGCGAGGGTCCACGCTGGAATCCACCGATGTGGCTTTGATCGTGAGATACACCCACACCCATGCTCATTGCCATACCTTGAGGCTGCCTGGTTGGAGGGCCTGGCCGGAACCCACCAGGGCCCGACGGCGGAGGAGGACCTCCGGATCCAACGGGAATTGGGGGAACACCGGCAGCGGGACCAGTAGGTGCGAACAATTGAGCAGGGAGCTGCTGGGGGGTTACTTGTACGTTGTGCTTTTTAGCCTGTGCTGCTAGCATTCGTTCCGCTTGATCTCCGTGACGCTCTCCCTTGCCATCCTTCTTATAGGCATATTGGACATTGATTTCTTTGTTCATGAGAAACTGGTTATGCATAGATTCGATAGCTTTGTCGGAAGCTTCGAAAGAGTCGTAAGAGATAAAACCGAAACCTTTAGATACCCCTTGGTCATCACGGGCAATCTAGAGAAGTGATGGTTAATACTGTTTCAAGGCGTGGTTTTCTTTCCGTAACATACCTTTGGCGCAGCAACAAGGTTTCCAAAAGTGCTGAATGTATCGTACAACGTCTTTTCGTCTACCATCGGATCCAAATTACCAACAAATAGCTCAGCGCCAACTTCCACTGTCTTTTGTTTATCTGCCGACGCCTGCCATCGCCGTCAATAGAGCGCTCCAAACAGATTGTAACTTGGGTTACGTACTTTATTCACACGAATTGGTTTCCCATAGAGTCGCACTTGGTTCATGATTCTAGCAGCGTATTCGGCATCTTCCTCTGAGATAAATTCTACGAAACCAAAGCCTTGGTGTGTCTGGGTGACACGATCTTTGGGCAAATGAACGTTAACCTATATGAAGCTGTCAGGGTTATTGTTGGAAATTTTATAGGGTAGAAAGAGTAGCATACGATCCGTCCGGCCTGCAGCATAAGCTCCCAAACCAGGGCATCCGACACCCTCTCATCAAGGTTTCCAATGTAGACTGTTGCCTCTTTGTCCTGTTCCCAATGACGAGCGCCCGACATTGCGACGCGCTTATAATAGGCGAGTAGTAGTAAACTGGAGATCGATGATTAAGATAAAGCGTGAGGCGGTTCTGGGCTGGGGAGTTGATTGACAGGAACTGTGTTTACTTAGAGGACAGTAGGTTGCTATAATAACCAACGTTACCCGGATCTATTTCAGTTGTGAAACACCTTTTGCCCAAAGTTCAATTGACCAAAGAAAGAAACATCTTCCATTGTCGCAAGAATGGCTCTTCGACTACGTCAGTCTATCTTGAAGTACCCTCGGAATGTATCTAACGCCTTTACATTGGCTTCTTTCTTCTATCCTAGGACATCAGCCCGCCACACTGGTGCCCAGCGGTCAAATTTATTCTTAGCGGTTACAAAATCATTGACATCCTCATCTTGTCGGCCTATAAGCTCTAAAGCGATCCTTAGGCAGAACCTCCCGCTTGAAAATGGAATATACGAGAGACCCATTCTCGAAGAACAAGAATTAGAACAAAAGAAGGAAAATGAGAAGGAACTGGAAGAATTGCTTTCTGTCCAACAGCCTCACCATCCACATTCAACTTTCAGTACTTCACCCTTCACAGATCTCAGGGTACTCTCACTTTCAGCAGGCTCAGGTGGTAATGGCTGCATTTCGTTCCTTCGCGAGAAGTTCGTCCCTAACGGCCCTGCGAATGGTGGCGACGGTGGAACAGGTGGTTCAATCTATATCCAGGCCGTATATGGTGAAACTTCCCTCCACAAAATAGCAAGAGATGGCTCGGTACAGGCTACCGCAGGAAGAAATGGCCAAGGCAGTGCGATTAATGGAAAAAGAGGCGATGATGTGATAATCCGAGTACCGGTGGGCACAGTGGTACGTGAAATTTCGCGATGGGATCCAACAGCAGAGGAGTTGGGGCCAGAGAACGATTTTGAGGAGGAATACGCTTCAAAGGCGGTCGCAGATGCAAAAGCGAGGGCAAGAATAAAAAAAGAAAAGAAAAAAGCGAAGGCAAAAGAGAAGGCGAGGGCAAAAGAAGAAACGGAGGAAGAGGAGGTTGAGAATGATGAGAATGATGAAGAGGTGGAGGAAGAATTTAGGAAAAGGAGAAAAAGGAAACAATTGGAAGAACCTATACAGCCCAGCAAAAAACATGGAGGAAATGATCATTGGCTTCATTACCCTAGAAGTCTTTCTCAAAATTTGCAAAGCACACAGTTCAACGAGGCAGCATTCCCCTTTTACCATCATCGCTCCTCGTCGGATCTTCTCACTCAGACTCACCCTACTCCCGTTTACTTAGATCTATCTGAGCCCACATTAGAGCCGATCTTGCTTCTTCCAGGCGCGCCTGGTGGTTTTGGGAATCCGCATTTTGTCTCTACCGAGCTTCGCCGACCAAAATTTGCGACTAAAGGTGGAAAGGGCGCACGAATGAAAATTCAACTCGAGCTGAAAATTCTTGCAGATGTTGGTCTAGTTGGACTTCCGAATGCAGGTAAATCCTCTTTCCTTCGTTCGGTTTCAGGGAAGCAGGCCAGGGTGGGGGAATGGGCCTTCACGACTTTGTCGCCGAATATTGGTACTATTGTTTTGGACGAACGGGCATTGCCGCCTCAAGTCCCCGTCGAGTCATGGCAAAATCAACAACAGCCTAGATTTACAATTGCAGATATCCCAGGATTGATCTCAGATGCCCACCTAAATAAGGGATTAGGACACGGGTTCTTGAGGCATGTTGAAAGAGCCAAGGTTTTGGGTTTTGTTATCGATCTTTCAAGGGATGATCCAGTCGGCGATTTAAAGGGCCTTTGGAGAGAAGTAAAGGCTTACGAACAGGGAAAGGATGGTGAAGAAGATGGCCCAAATGTTAAAGGAATGATGAGTGAGATGGCAGGGAACAAAAATATGGATATTGAGCCTATGGGTGAGCCGGATATCGAGATGAATCCAGTTCAAAGCCAGGCGGAGCCCGAGAAACCAGAGATCGAGGATGTTGAAGGAGGCATGGTCCGTTTTGGTGGAGTTGGTTCTCTTGTGCCTCGTAGGGAAGCACCGCACATCCGACAAAGTAAACTGGATAAAGGAAGCTCTGACTTTGAACTGGGGTCACTGCATCCACGACAAGAACGGCCTAACATGACATCGAAGCCTTGGTTTGTTATTGCAAACAAAGCAGACCTATCAGGTACAGAGGATAAGTACTGGGCACTGAAGAATTACCTAGAGTTGGAAGTAAAGAAGGGTGGTGATGGAAAAAAGATTGGTTTATTGCCGATTAGTGCTCTCCGGGGACAAGGCGTGGATAAGGTAGTTGACTGGATGAAAAGCATGTTAGGATTTTGATTCCTCAATCATATTTGTATTATAGTGATCGAATTTCATGCTCATTTGAGAAGACAATATCTCCCACCCCCATTGCTCCTAAATACAATCACAGACAAGGAAAAGGAAGACAAAAAAATAGTTGGAAAAGGGAAGAAAAAAAGAAAATTAGAAACTCCTGTCCTGTTTTACGCGGTGTAGTTACTCTAAGCCTCATATTAAACCTTTTGAGGTTTCCATCTCGATAAAGCTCTTAGCATTTACGCAATAGAGCAATACCTTAGAGACAGTAGCAAGTGGGGAGGGGGGAGATAACAAAGCTACTAAAGCCACCCGGAATATCATTTTGCGGGCTTCCAAATACTCCTCACATACACAAACGATAACTGGCGTATCTACCGCTGGTCTCGCTCTTCCTGACAATTTTAACCACCATTCCACGTTTAAGACCCATGTACCTCGCGACAGGATCAGCACTCTGTATTCTAGGCAGCTGTGTCTCCTTCAGGCGATATCTTTCAAGTAGTCTTCGCTTCTCTTCCCGACTGAGTAGGTGATGAGTAGGGACTAATTCGTGCTTCGTGATGTTGACCAGTAGATCGGCCTCCTCAAATACCTCTATGATAGCTGGGAGGACAGTCGGAACGATCTTCATAGCTGCCGCCGTGGGGTTGTGTTGGCAAACAAAGATACCGGTGTGATAGTTCTCAGATACAATAGTGTGCGCAAAGGTTCTCATGTGTTTGATACCAATATTAGGCTCCGATGAGAACTCCACCCAGATTGTACCAACATTTGCAGGTTGTCCAGGGGGTGCAGCGTGCTGCTTCAGCATCTTCTCTGATGGATTCGCTTTAAAAGTCATGTTTTTGCGCCTAGGAACCAGGTAAGTGGGTGTGAGTGGGGGAGGAGAAAAGGTGTGAATACTGAGGACGGCCTTCACTATCGCAGTAGTGGCGTCTGAACTCGTCGAGAGTAATGCTAACTTCCTCCTCAGAGATTTCGTAGCCCTAAGAATTGTTAGCTCACCAGTTTTAGTAGGAAATTTCTCGACCTATCGTGGTCTCGTAATCACAGTACTTACACGATCCTTGACCATCTCATGAACGGTTCTCCAGGCGCGCCATAAGCGGGAGCACTCTCTTTCAGGGTCCATAGTGGCAGAAGATTATGGTGGTGCTAGGTGGTAATCGCGGTGTTCGGGGGAGACTTGAAAAGAACTAAATCCTCTGAACCGCATGCACTATAGGAAGCTTACAAAGAGTTACCCGGTCTATGGTAGCATTTCTAGTCAAATGAACACTTCTGATCTAGTAAAAACGCAAAGTTGAACTCCAGCCTAACAAGACATCCAAAAAATTTATAGTACTCCATGTCTGATCAGCGTGAATCCTACCAACCTCCTGCCGGTGGAGCTGGCCGTTCTTACGCTGGTGCTTCAGCTGCTTCGGGGACTATGCATTACCTCTGCGCTGAGTGTGGAGTGAAGGTTGCAATCAACAAGGGCGAGCCTATTCGGTGCAAAGAGTGCGGCCATCGCATTCTTTACAAGCAAAGGACCAAACGGTGCGTCCCTGTCCTGTCCTCAGTTATACACTCATTTGAGTATGGTAGTTCTAACTTGGCTTGCGTACACTAGTATGGTTCAGTTCGAGGCGCGATAGTTTGCTACCAGCAAAATCGAATTCGGCGGGAAAGGAAATGATGATAGTGAGGATTGGGCACGGGTGGACGGTAATGGTTCTATGGGGTTTTCTCGGCGTCGCTCGTGTTTTCTAGGTTCTCTATTCTGAGAACTACTGCCTTCTAAGCTTCTGTATTTGTATACTTATCACCAACAAAAACAATCGGATTTGGGTGTTTTTTCACAACGAAGGTAATTCGTAATTAATTAAAAACTCTTTCAAATCGATATAAAGGGGATTTCCCGGTAATATATTAATGCACGGACAGTTCCACTCAATACATCTTGAGGTATCTAATTTTCCCTAACACCATTGACATCTTCTTCAACTACTGCCTCTACGTTGGAACCTCTCCTATTTGATCTGTCTCTTCTGCCACCCCCATCAGTCATTCTGGGGGCCTTTCTTGGCCAACTCCGCGCGATATCAATTCCACTTTGAGGGAACAAAAATTCTAACAACTAAATCGACGTCGGGTTAGTACGCCGCGGTTTGCTACGAAGCACTTGAAAAGACGAAGGTAGCAATACACACCACCAGGATTAGAGAGTCTACAACTACGCATAGTACGAACAGTTTGCCTGCCCAGATTCCACATCCATAATATCTCTTCAGTCTCTCCATCAAACCTACTCTTTCCCCTATACAGATTCCTTCATAAACCCGCTCCGTTCTTTCGGCCACATCAGTCCACGAATACATGCTTTTGACTTGTTCGTGAAACTTTTCTGTCTTAACCCTTCCCATTCTTATCTCTTTGATAGCCCTACTAGTCGCACTGACAAGATCGTCTTCCTCCGGTCTCGAAAACACTGTCATGTGACTAGGCAAAACCTCTGGTATTCCTCCAACTCTAGTACACACAACGTATAGCCCGCAGCTTGCAGCTTCCACCAGTACTGTTCCAAATGCTTCCGTTAATGACGGGTGAAGGTAAATATGACCCCTAACCATGACATCTCTCACTTCTTCGTGACGGACCGGACCAAGCATTTGAACTCGGTCTTGAAGCATGTGTTTCTCTAACATCTGCTCGAGATCGATTGCTTTGGGACCTGATCCTGCGATGATAAAATGGACTGAAGGATGGAGCTCGCAAATCCTGGGAATTGCAGCAACGAGAAGGTCGGTACCTTTATTGTAGAAAAGGCGAGATATCACAACAATTGTTATGTGTGATTTTGAAGCCGCTGTTGGATCTGGTTTGAAGTTCTCGGCCACGACAGCGTTGGGTATTACTGAGACCATACTTGGGTCAAGGGCAGCTCGTAACACAGTATTTTCCTTACTTCAAGCACAGTTTGCGTCAGTGTTGATTTTTTCCGTCTATAGGGAAAAGCTAGTCCTACCAAGTATGGCTCACACATATAACATGATCAACGTCGCTCAGGGTGAATTTTAACAGCTTATTGGTAAGAATACTTGCGGCATCTGCAAACCCAAACAGACTGTGGTCCGTAAAGCATGTTCTTAGCCCCATAGTCCTGGCATGAAGAATAGCTTCATGGCAGAGGCTACTCAATGAGGCGTGGCCATGAACAATGTCAATTTTTTCGCGAATCAGAATGTTGCGGAATATGGGAAAGAACGAGAATACTGTTGGTAATGTGGATTCGCGATAAATTACGAAAAATGGAACATAGTAAACCTTGAGGCCATTCGTGAGGTATCGCACCCCGTGCCGGGTTTTGTAAGAATGTGTTATGATTATTACCTTATGCCCGCGGTCAATCAATTTCTGTTGAATTAAAAGTTAGCTTTGCGATAAAAGATAAAGGGGGGAACAAGTAATACCGTGGCAAGCTGATACATATGACTTTCCACTCCGCCTGATTGAAACATTGTTAATAATACCTACTCACGGGAGGTCAAGCAATTTCATACCAGGCTGGGGGTAAAAAAAGTCACTGGTCATTCTAGATCGCGAAAAGTCAGTGATATCAGCTCCTAGGATAGATACTTAAGTCCTGAGTACATACGCAATATTGTAAGGCATCTTGGATGTCAAACCGTTCTACTGTAGCATTTCTGAGGACAAAACTTGGAATCGAAACGTGTAAAAGCTATAGAGCTATAGAGCGTTGCTGTGAAGTGTTTGCGAAGCTCGGGAGTCTTTAGTTACATACATACAAGTACCTACTTAACGCGTAAACCTAACCCTACACGTATTACCGACCACCCTTCTAGCTTTCCTACACGTATTACCGACCACCCTTCTAGCTTTCAATTATTTTAAAGCCCTCGGGATTGATAGATGTACTAGCTAATAGCACACTGTTCAAGAGATATCTCGATTTATTAAATCCGTGAAGAGTTGGGTGGTATTGAATCCGTGAATTTTGAGATTAGGGCAGATGTTGCCAAGACTCATACTAGTATAAATTGGAGGCCTTGGCATATGTCTATGTGAAATTCAAGACTGCGAAGTGATTTCTCTGGGACTCATCTCATATGAAAGGAAAATCAGTACATAAAACTTATCAATTCGTAATATAATATTACATATTATTATTTCCAGCCCCAGCACCTATCAAAATCACCAACCTGCACTTCCAACATCTCCATACTCCTTTCATGAGATTTTACTTTGGAATTGGTCTTGATATGTGTGAATGGTCGAGCATGGTGCTAAGCTGCTGATCAGGAGTCCAAAGCCCCGGGTTTACTGAGGCAATGTTGGAACCAACCAACTCTCTAGTTTTTCCACCAGAGCTTGGAGTAATAGGGGATTTCAAGTCTCCCCGAGCGATACCCGAAAATTCTTGTACTTCTTCCCCTCTACCTATATGCATTTCACGTATTCCTTTTCTCGGAGGAGTTCCGGTAAGCTGGATACTCCCTAACTTTGAATCCTTTTTTACATTTGATGGTGGCGGTTGATTTTTCTTCTCCGACGAACCGAAGGGGTCGAAACCAATTCTTCTCCGAGCGTTCTCTCGTTCCAACTGTCTGCTTTCTCTTGAGCCCGATAAGGCAGAGTCTGAAAGGAAAAGATTCAGAAGTTCATCGTGTACCGTTAAGTGTGACGCTTGCTGGTAGTTTTGTAGAGCGGTCAAACGGAGCAGGCACTCAAGGACGGAAAGATTAGACTTCACATTTTGTGAACTGCAAGGACGAGACGGGATGGAGTAGCCATAGTGGATATCCGAACTCTTCATAGATGAAGTGGTGACTACAGACCCTAAACCAGGGTGTTGTGGAGGTTGAGGAGATGCATAATGTTCTGATACATCTTCTTCTGAGTCATATTCAGAGCCGTTTTCTGCGATATCATCTTCATCACCAATGGATTCGGTAAAGATCTCAAACGCAAGCCATTCAGGATCAAGATGGCGTGGTAGTTCATATTCGTCAGGCAAAATTGGTCCATCCTCGGTCCGAATTGACCCACCTTCCCCCATATCTAGAGCATAGCCCTCATCATGTTCTTCTTCGCTGTCCTCGTATTCATTATGATATGCTTGGATTCTGTCCATAAGCTTACGTGGATGTGGGGCATTGATATCCCGTTTTAATAGAAGAATCGGAGAATTGGAGTCTTCTATACCGAGAAGTGTACCGGAATTTGTGTAGAAAAGCTTCGAGATCTCATGAACCGGAATTCGCGTCCTCAGCCCAGCATTTAGAACGTCTTCATAAGACCCTGGTTGTTGCCCCAGTTCTTCCAATTCATGAACCCGCCCGTCATCTAGGTCTTCGATGAGACATAGTTCATAGTAATACTCCTCAATTTTGGTTCGAGCTTGTAGGTGCTTTGAACTATAGCCGTCATCATCCTCATCATAAACTAGTGGAATCCTCTGTAACTTCACTCTGCATTTGTAGATAACCTCTTTCCAAGTGAGGTCTTTGGCAGAGATATGCTCTTGCCGATGCGAGTGGCCAGCAAAAAGCATATAGAGGCTCAGGGTAAATGTTGTGCCTATTTGTGCAGGATTGGAAGGTTTGACGGCATAAGCTGTGTCACCAGCAGTGAGTAAAGTCGACGCCTGGAGTAGCCGGGATGGTGAAACATTATGGGGAATATTGGATGACAATTCCACTCCAGATGTTGTGACAGCTAAGCTGATAAATGGAACGGCCTTTTTAGATACCATGTGTTAGCTTTGAACCATCAAACCATCGATAAACAATTTGGGGAAACATACATCTTCTATCTTCCCGAGTAGGTCTTTAATATCATGCACAACTCCTTTGATTTCGTCCTGGTTTTTGGGCCGTTTTCTACCTTCGCTTTGATTCGAGAGGTCGGACAAGCGCACACCAAGAGATTCAATATCATGCCGTATTGCCTTAGTTAGTGTCAAGGCACTCTCAAGAGATGTATTCCCTCTAGCTGAGCTATCGAGTAAGACAAGTCAGACTTCCGCAAAGAGCAAAGATGAGTCCATGACTTACATGATTTCAACTAGATCGATAGCCGGTGAAATGATCTTTAAAAGGGGCCATAGTCAGGGAATCTACTCGTAGAGCATAGGAAAGATTGAACAGCTACGTACATTGATCTTTGTTTGCAATCGTTCTTTAAGAGAAAGCAATTCTTGTCGGTCTTTCCCTCTGGTTGACTATGATATCTTAATAAATGCATCTAAACGATAATTTCAAAAACGATATGGATTTACTCACTGCAATGTACCGTCCAATCTGATGATAAGCAAACGTGGTTGTTACGGTGATTCCCGACCTAAATTCGAGAGTTAGAGAGATGTTGTAAGACGGAGGGATGGGATATTAATTACTTGATGGCAAAAGACACTTTGATAAGGAGTGTTTGTCAGTCGGTTTTCTCCTGGGGCACCCGATAAGAATGATGAATATATATATACCTGCTTGCTGCGATACCTTGGTGAGAAAAAAATCCATGGTCGTGACCTTATGCTCTATACTTGCTGTAGACAGTGGGGACGTGTTGTTCTAATTCTAGTTATCTTTCTTTCATGTCACACATAAGGTGGGGTGGTGTGTTACGAATGGTGGGGTGTGGAAGCAACTGCGCTACATGTAGGTGCATATCATTTTTACTTAGATCACGTTTATTTTCTCCAGCAATACAATCCTCTATTCTAATTCTAAAGAAACCCACATTGATATTTTAAATTTTTTTATTGCTACTTTCTTCCCCGCTTTTGCACCAACTCAAAACCATCCTCATCTATGACTGGCTCGACTCTTTGCCTGGTCTCTGAAGGCCCTGTCGAAGGTGCTTCCGACATTTCTTCATCACTATCTCCCTCGTCTTCGCTTGAGCCGGCTTCTTCGGTAACCTCTGTTACTTGTGGGACTCCCGGGTGTTGATTCTTTGGTTTCGCGAGGAATTTGGTGTGTAATTCGTCTATTGTAGACAAGTTCCCCTCCAGTACCTCTTTGCGCAGAGAAACTAATTTTTGGGCGATCTATTGAACTGTCAGTGGCAGTGAATATGTGAGATATATTGTAAATCTTTACCCCCCATGCCGAATCGTCCTCCAAGTTTACTTGAAACTCATCCCCCATGACTTGTACCAACACGCTTTCAATATCATACTCATCTGTTTCCTCTCGCTCCGTAAACATATCCGCAATAGCGCCGCAGAGCCAGTCACGCTTGTCGTCACTGTCAGGTCCGCCCCATTGAGCTACAACAGCATCCGTAAGAACACTCCAGTTGTGCAAAACCAGTGAGACGCCGAGTTCCCACTTTTTTAAAGATTCTGTTGAAAGGGTTGTTTGTGGTGCAGAGGGATTGATGGAACCAAGGTTCTCATTAGGCACCGAAGAAGAAGACATTGTGCGTGCTATTCGGCGAGTAAGATAAATTGGGGGACAAAGGTAGTTACACGGTTGCGTTTAAATACAGTACTGCGTAGGTACTGCATCTGAGCCATGGCGCGGCTCCCAATGTACGTACATAAATCCTGCCAACGCCAAAGTACATATACTCTCTATAGATCCCACAGCATTGAATTGTTTAGTATGATATGTACTCGCGCGTTAATTAAGTCCTGAGAAATTTTGTGAGGAATAATTCTCAGGATTTAATTAATGCGTGAGTACTCTACATCAGAATCCCCTGAAGCGAAAGGAATCATCCCTGAATTATGCAGCTCACGGTGACCTTCCTGTAATTCACCACCTCCGCCACCAAAATATTTACGCTGCTCCAACTGAGACAGTCAATGAAGACAGCCAAATTCAGTGACGGTGCGTTGTAGCCACAATCGGTCTGTTCATCCCCACTACGGTTCATCTCCACTACAAAAGCAGCCAACAACGCCGTCCCTTTGTAAAAAAGCTGGATCACTACCGTAGTCAGGCAGCATGCTGACGAATCCCGCTAGAATTTCACCAATCTTTCCGACACTGATGGTGAACATGAGAAGTGGCCGAAAATTAAATTATGATCCTTGAGCTTCCAGCAACACAAAGGTAGCATTATGATATTTCTCACAATACCGATTTATTACTTCTGGTTTGGGCTAGGTACATGTAGTCTTGTAAGCTGTACCCATGGTATTAGGTATTTGAAAAACTCCTGTTCAAAATCCTGATTATCTGATCGGCCGATGAGAGAATCTACACCAATCAGGCTACCGGAAAATTGAGCTGGAGTCTTTCAAATTTACTACCGTATGCCACCCCATACCGTATTACTTATGTAGAGATCCCACCCCGTTTTTTCGTACTGCACGTTTCTGCTACCCTGATATCTCTTGAGCGCCGTTATCACTCGAAGAAAGAAAAAAAAAAAACGAGCCAGGATATCAGTCTAATTTTCTATTTCAGATAATAACAGGCATTCACACGCCCCCCCCCCCCCCCGGGGCTCTACTCTTAGGTACCTACTGTATGTTTCGAGCTGTACTTCGATATCAACTGCCTATGTGTCGAGACGAGTATGCAAAGTTGATTTTTTTATGGTGCTGAACGAAGTGTACTACAATTGAATTACCTACAGGTCAGTATGTGCCTGTATGGCTTACACGTATTTCAAATGGTCCTCATCTATGCGTATTTATGCTTGTTCGCTAGAGGAATAAAGATACATAATTATCTTATAACACATTGAGGTATCAGGCAATGACCAACCCCTTTATATCACGAAGAGAATAGCCAGATGCTTATAAAAGCAAGGCTATGCTTAGCATGTATGCCACATGAGCGACTTGATTATGCCCGCACAGAAGCCGGGCTCCTGAATCCCTCCTCGCTGCCAAAACTCGAGTCGATCTTGACTGTCGTACTTCTCACATCCGGCAATACTAGAACGCATTCTCCGTTGCTTCTATAGTCTGTTTCTGAACTGATGATTCCTGTTGTCTCAGATTGTTGCTGTACTGGGACGTATTGTTTAACCTCCACGTTGGGGAGTAATAAATTTCCTGCTTTGAGCGGGACCAGAAGTATAGGGAAACGATGGATTTGCCCTTCCTGCGAATTGTAAGTCTGTTACTCGGCGATTCTGCGATACGTTTCTTTGAAATAACCTACCTTTGCAGTGAAATGGGATCTTTTTCGCCCAGATACCAGCCATACCTCTAGGTTATTTTGAACTTCATAAAAGAACTCCAGTTCTTCATCCCCCACGTCAATCTCCTCGTCCTTAGCATATACAGCGTTCCAAGCTCTAGAGTGACGAATTACTAATTCTGCAGGGATAGCTTGTCCCACAGCTACCATCTGAGGTGTATATGGTGTTGAAAGGGATTTAGAGTTGGCATCTGAGAGTATGTTGATTTCTACGGTGTGTATGACTTGCAGTTGTGGAACCTCGACAGGGATCACTACCAAACGTGTAATGGGTTCCGTTTCGGGATCCTCGAAAGCCGAGCTAAGCTGTATTATTGCATTTTTCTGCACTCATGATGTTAGTGGATTCCTTGGAGCAGCTTGTTGGAACAAACCTTATAAAACTCTTTCAACCAATGCTCCATCTGTTCCCTTTCTCCGTGTGTTGGAGTAATACCATCCAGAGCCTCCTCCCACCCATATTCTTCATAAGTGCCTAGGCGGACTTCGCCCAATAATGCCGTTGCTTCTAACTCTAGCAGATGTCTTTTTTGGAGTTGAGAAATTAGTATAGGCTGAAGCCAATGCATGTATTTCCCCTTCCCAGCAGCTTGAAGCTGCGATGCGAAGGTAGATCGGGCAGATTGAATAATTTCTGAGATAAATTAGCGTTTAGGTTTGTTGCCTAACTTTCCCAAACCTACCTTCATCTATGGTTCGGTATTTAATAATCAAAGCTAAAGGCTGCTCTTTTTGCGATTCTTTGGGCCCCTTCCTGGTGATTTTATACGTGAATGATGCCGGCTGCTTTGCAAAAACGACCTGATCATCTCAATCATCAGATATGTTTAGTGCAGATAATATGTCTTCTAACACAAAAAAGAATTACCCATACCATGGATCCTTCGGTCCCTTGCCCACTCTTAGCCTCAAAACTGTCTGATCCTTCTAAAGTTGCTTTCAGGATGCGTAAAGGCATTTCAGGATTTGCCGTCGAGACCTGGAATTTGGAGAACAGTGATCCGGGCTTAAAAACATCTTGAACATTCACCGCAAGTGGCAGGATCACGGCGATACTAAGCTTGTCCGCGAAGAAAAAATCGCCGGTTACTGTAGTATAGTCAATCTCAACTTTCACTGATAATTCAGTCAAATCGTTTTCGCTAGTGTAGGGAACTCTCAATCGAATCTTCCGCCCTTTCCCCATGTTACCGAACAAAACGACCCCCGGCTTTCCGTTTGTATCAACCATACCCTCCCCTTCGAGAACCTTAAGGTCGGCTGTCATAAGTCTCAATCCGGCTGTGGCAGAACGAACCCTCAGCTCTCCTTTGAGCACTTCGTTCTCCCCAGGGTCAAGTACAATCTCCGTTGCCTTAGGGTGGTCAAGGTTGATTTCCTTCGGTACCTCCAATCTTACTAATAAATTCCGGGGTGCGGGAAAGAATGATAGCTTTAGTTTCTTAGCGGTAGTGACGGCTACCCCAGAATTTGACGGAAGGCCTGCTGGAGTAACCGGGGACGACTTGGGCGTCAACTCATGCAAAAAAGTAAGCTTATTCGCAGTGACGATAATTCGATCCGCCATATAGGTTCCTGGCACCGTGGCATTCGTTCTAACCAAAGCTCGCACGATTCCTTTCTTCATTATCGTAGGCTCTTTGGTTTCCATCCACACCTCTTTGACCTGCCCAACTGTATTCACAATCCTGACCCTAATTTTCTCCACCCGCATTTCCTCCTTTAAAAGATACCTCATCTTTACCACGACTTCAAATCCATCTCTATCGATCATATGTCGAGGATATGGATCGACAGTAATGTCGCTCCAGAAGTTAGACATAGGTGCGGATATTTCTTTAGCATTACCTCTAGATAATTCAACAATGCTATCGACATAGCCTATGACAGCAGCTTCTTCTTCTAGAACGTGATTGTCGAGGGAACCCGGTTTTTCTGCAAGCTCATTCTCGAGCGATTCTATCCCTCGACGCCGTAGACGTACCCTTTCTGCTGCAGAGCTTTTAGTAAGAAGCTTCATAAGCACCATGACGTACTCCTCTTTACGATCCATCTCTTTTAGGCATTTGGCGTACATTCCTAGTAACGTCGTTTCAATCAGACCCCAGCCTTGATCAGCATAAAATTTTGTCATTTTTTCGAGATGGCTAGCTGCTCTAGCATAGTCTTTCAAATGACTATTTAATCGTCAAGGAGGTAGGTCAGCTATCTGTCGAGGTAGCGTACCAGATCAGGGGGGTCCAAAATAAATCTCACAATCTTAAAGCTGCCAAATCTGCCTCAACCCTCTCGCAGCTCTTAACCCTTTTAGCTAGCCCAAAGTTTGTCATGGCTTTCTCGCTCAAATCTTCAAATATCTTGTAAAATTCCTCCTTTCTGTCGCCTTCAATAACCCTTCTCAAAGTCGCATTTCGGATTCCCTCCACACCCCAGCTATTTATTATATTCTTTTCGGAGGCCGCTTTAGTTTGGGGCATATCTCTATCGTCATCCAATCTCACTTCCTCCATTTTAAGCTCAGCTTCGCCCCGCTCCACTTCAGGAAGGAAAAACCACCCTAGACTACCGATCCATCCCTTCCTTTTTCCGAATGTCTCCACAACGCCACGTGCTAGAAGCATTAAGTCTGCGCGAACTGCTGCAAGGTCTTCCAATCCTGATATAGACCCCTGAGGGGTCTGTCCAAAGGAAGTGGTTTCGGAGCTTGGTGTGGGAGGCAGGCTACTAGTTCTTCGTGGGAATTTCCCGGAAACTGAGTCTGTCGGGGATGCAAGAGAACCTTCCGCAAGTATGGAAGTTGCCGTTTGATTCAATAGCTGTTCACAAACAGCGAATATCCAGGACGAAACAATATTGTCAACCATCCAGCTAACATTGTCTTCGCTTTCGTCGGGCTTCTCTTCTGAAGAAGAGTGATATGCGGTCCATAGATCGGCCCGCAAAGCTCTAGCCACGCTAGTAACGAATTCCAGACCACGTTTACAGACCTCTGCCAACCTAGTTAAATCCTCTTCTGGCTTGCCAACCGCCGCGGCTGCAGCCTCGTGAAGAGAAAACGTTCCTGATGCAGTGCCTGGTGAACCAATATCTAATCCGATGTTATGGCCTTTACCCAGTCGGAGCAATAGTGTAGATTGCCGTGCAAATAGATAACATTTGAAGTCAAACAGCGAGATTTCGTTTGATAAGATTAACTCCCTGTAATGTTTCCTTTCTGTGCCCAGGGGGTTTCCTTCATCAACATCTTCCTGTTCTTCGTCATCCTTCCCTCCACGACGAGCAGCCCGTCTGTTTCTAGCCTTTTCAATCCACCAAATGCTCTCCTTTGTCCATCCAACAAATTTGCCCCCTACAACATCATCCGGGCTAGATTCGCCTTTTTCTTTTTGCTCTTGATCCCGCGCAATTGCGTCAAGACCAAAACCTAATTCATCATAAAGTACCAAAGCATCCTCTACCAAGCCAACAGACTCAAAGGCCCTAGCAAGACCTTCTTTTAACACGAAAAATGTGCAAAAGTTCCAACCAGGCAGTCTTCTTTGGCTATCCTTCTCTCGAATGTCGTCCTCATATTGGCTAACTCTTGCGTCAAAACTAGCAAGGATTTGAGTTTTAAACTTGGCAATAAGATCCAGCCATGCCATTTCGCTTTCAGTCGGAGTTTCAGGAATTGGAACTATTTGATTTCCCACCAATACCGGAGGGCTTAGAGTGGCCAGTGCTGGATGTGTGGGGGATATTCTAATCTGGACAATTCTATCTTTTTTGCTGGTGTTTAAATTAAAATCACCCCTAATTTTGTCTAAAAGAGTTGTGCTGCCTTTCATCCAACGAGAGCTGCCGGTGGCATTTGATGCAGATGATGAAGATCGGGGCTGGAGTGCTGCCGATGTATTAGGTAGGACTACATGGATAATAAGCCACTCGAATGCATCATGCTGCTTGTTCTCGTTGGATGAGCTAGCTGTGTGTTCGGAAACCCATTCGCGGAGAAGTTTCCGCGAGGTGTTTTTGTAAGTATCGTTATCATCGCATCTAAGCAAAAATATCTTGAGATATGGGGTATTCCGCAAGCCAGGAATCTGGTGTCGACGTTCCTTTTGGGGCGCAGAGGGTTTCGAGGCCGAACGGACGGTAGAATCCACGGAACGCGAAGACTCGGAGCTCTTGACACGAGTAAGGTCGTGTGAAGACCCGAATGCTGGAGATGAAGGGGATGGGTTGAGCTCTACGTGGAGGGAATTGATGGAGCGCAGTGGGCGGGCAGGCGCTTTCCAATGTAGGTTTCGCAAAGGGAGGCGGGAACGGAGGTCGGAAGATATCAGAGGATAGAGACTGAAGGGGTCCCAGTAGCTATCTCGAAAGGCCCATCAGAAAACACAATTCGCATGTGGGGAAGGTGAGGGGCGCGTACGTTACTGTGACCTTGGACGTTGACGAAGAGGTATCCATGGACTTGGATTTAGAAGCAGAAACGATGGAGTTGCTCTGATACAAGACTTAGCATAAGCTCATAGGTAGATAGAATATCTACTTAAATAGGCACAGGCTGTTACACATACTTCACGTCTTGTATAACTACAGTACCGCGAATATAGGTAGGTACATGTAGTTATGTTAGGTTGACTTCATAACTGGAGGTACTATTTAAGAACACGGTTTCACAAGAATAACATGGGGTAAACTTAAAAAGACTTAGACTTGAGTCTCTCCGCCCTTCCGGTGTCCGATTTCTAGGGTGCACTCCTACACAGGTGACATGTGCAGCCTATTTTGCTTAGTCAGCGATATTGAGTGCCGCTGTCGCAATCCACAGGACCAGAGATCAATGATCTATTTGACGCTTTCTTTTCCTTGGAGGGTCGGGCTCTTATAACTTTTCTCCACCCCGCCCGAACGATGCCCATTAAGGTCTGTTAGAAACCACTCATCACCACAGTGCCATCATCATCAACTGTAGAGCGAATTTAGATGATCATGAGCTGATCCGAGGGCACCGGATATACTACGTCTCAAATTGCAATTGATGTTCCGTAACTTCATCTCCTTTAGCATATAATTAATAGTACAATATCATATCATGCTGTCTCACCCAGACAGAGTCATATCATACTGTCTCACCCAGAGACAAAATCACGCTATCTCCTCTAGACTAAATATGACTCAGCTATGTATTCCTATTTCTTTACTTCGAATTCATGTAAAACGTTAATGGCCATGGCTAGACACTTTCCTTCTTTGGTTTTCTTCATCTCTAAATTTCTTTATGGTACATGGCACTTTCAATTGATATTTAAATGAGCTAGTGAGGCACTGGTTTTGATTTAGCAATTGCAACCAGAACCAGATTTGCCGTTGACCCAAGTTAATAATTAACTGAAGTAAATCTCAGAGCATCAATTCGGATCAAAAACCTAATTAATCAGTCAACTAAGCATTATCTATGTCTTTTTGCATCCATATGAGGTGATCAGTATTATTAGTTTATTGGATACATGTAGGGACATGACGTCGGTACACACACTACAATGTACCGCCATCTGGATATATTTGTGCTCCCAGCGCCATTCGGGGCTAAGCAGACATGTCTGCTCAGCATCCACTTTGTCATCCTTAAGTCATCATTGTGCTGAGCAGCTCAAGCTTGAATGTCGACCGTCAAGCAGTTATCCGTTCCCAATTTCGGAAGGTTTCTACTTTGCAGGAATTACGGCGAAGCTGAAGCTAGACTACAAGTGCGAGAAAGGAGGGTTCGAAAGCCGCGTAGCGGCTTGAGAGCCCGACTTCGAGCCCTTGTAGAGTAGGAGTACGAGCCATAACTTCATTAATATATTGAGCTTCACTAGGGCGTTGCTAAGCGCAGCGCAGCTCCAGTCACCACAACTCACTCACGCATTACATAATATATATCACCGTTAGCTCACTAAGCCAGTCACCATTACACTTCCTGACTCGATCACAGCCCCTGAGTTGGTCAGCCTGGCTCGGTCACACCCCTGATTTGGTCACTGATAGTTTTTCGGGCACCACAAGTAGATAAGGCTTCGGGGGGGGGGGGACCAAGGATAAATACCCACATAGCAACCCAATACTAAGTGAGCCCACATGTCCCTTGTTATGGCGGAGTAGCAACAATCGGTGACTGGACAAACCGCCATGTTGAAACTTGGCAAATCTCTCATTAATCGATCGACGTATGTACATACGTTCGGCCGGTCCTGGTGCCGGAGCTAAACCCTGGAACTTGGTTCCTGTGTTATTGTCGATTATCAAAGGGACGCAGAATGGTCTCTGTGATGATATCAGAAATATAGGCAACTTGGGGTAACAAAATCACGCGCAATGTTCACTTCCCTCTGCACTTAGCCTCTTTCTTTCTACGTATTGTATCGTGGTCCTCCGCAGTACTCTTTACCACCTTGGTCTGTGAACAAATGCCCTTCAACACGTTCTCTGTAGCTGCTGCTACAACCCCAACTGTGATAGCGACAGCGCTTGCACACGTTTGTGTCCCCTTAACACTTTGCCTGCTCTTGCAGCAACAGACTGACTTTGAACGTCCAGTACCTGGATCGCAACTCCCTCAAGGGCACACCTAGAAGCAGTCTCTCATACCATGAAGGTGTTGAGCTTATCAAAAAGTTTATGGAATATGCCTCGAACCACACTGTGGAACAGTTCCAAGCCTTCACAAGTCAATATGTCCCGCACCCTATTTCGGTGCATGTCGAGATTACAACAATCCCATTAGAATACCTAGACAAATCAGCGCAGCATGTCATTGATCAGCTCGGGCCCGATGGCGTGGAAAAGGTCGGTGGTAAAGCGTGGTGGAGGTGGAGGCCTAAAGAGCTGAGCGCGGAGTGGATCGAGATGCGCAAAGATTACTGGCACCGAACGCGACACCCGGAAAGACCTCCAAGAACGATGTTATACGTACATGGCGGTTAGTGCAATGTTTCATGCGGTCGGACTCGTTACAGTGCTCAAGTACTGACAGTATGCAGGCGCCTACTTTTTTGGTAGTGTGGATGAACACAGGTACCAGCTCCAGCGGCATGCAAGGAAGCTTCAGGCACGAGTTTTTGCGCGTAAGTAATACATATCCGAACTAGCTGCCGCAGATACTAATATGGCGGGGTAATAAGCGCGTTATAGACTGGCGCCCCAATTTCCATTCCCCTGTGGTACGTTTTACAGACGCCAAAAACCAGCTCTCGAGCTCTGCTGGTCCTTTAACGCCCCCCTTTAGCTAATCCACAACTCCAACAGGACTTTACGACGTACTAGCATGTTATTTGTATCTAATCAGCCAGCAGCCCCCAGAAACGATAGTACTGGCGGGGGATTCGGCTGGTGGAGGAATGATTCTATCAATGATGATAATCCTGAGAGACCAGGGCGTTCCTTTACCTGCGGGTGCTGTTTTGATAAGCCCCTGGGTGGATCTATGTCATAGTTTCCCAAGCCTTGTTCAGGGTATGTTTCGAATCTCGGCTACCGAGTGACCCTTCATGATGCACCTCCGCGAATCATAGTTGTTCTCAAGAGGTTTTAGTTCAGTTCTAACTAATGATGTGTCATTATAGAGAATAAACATGACTTTATCCCACCACACGGCTTTCTCCAAAAACCTTCTCTAGCTTGGCCCCCTCCAACTATGGATGATATCGAGGCGGCCAAGTTGGGCATAACTTTGGGTAATCCTATCAGTCCACCCGTGGGCTTTGAAGTGGTACCGGAGCAAACAGTGGATCCAACAGTTCCAGTTAAGCCATCACGCCGCAACACATCTATCGCTATTGACGGTAAAACCATAATCTTGAAAGACCAAATCCAGATGTATACCACCAATGATCTCATGAGCCATCCTCTAGTATCCCCCATTCTACAGGGCAGTCTAGGGGGCCTGCCGCCGCTCTTGGTCTTGACAGGCGGAGGGGAGGTACTGCGAGATGAGCAGATATATTTGGCACACAAGGCGGCCAATCCCACAGCATACCCAACCTGGGAGGGACATCTAGAAGACGATAAGACCGGTAGGCAAAAGGCCAGTGTCGATAAATGGCCCCCTACCAAAGTCTGGCTGCAAATATACGACGATTGCTGCCACGTGACACCCACATTAAGCTTCACCAGGCCCGCAAAGTTCATGTATCGCGCCATCGCGCACTTTGGCGCATGGGCACTGACCAACGCCACACACACCAAGATCGAGGTAGTCGAGGACGACGACATCTCCATAATCTCCTCCAGCGACTCGGCCAACTTTGACGAGAGCGAAGATGACAACAACAACAGCACGACCGAGCCCACGGGCCACAAGCTGCAGCAGCGGGGCACCATCCGCGATGCCGACTCGACAAATGTTCCCCCCTTTGAGAAGAACATGATCCGGCAGCAAATTGACCGCCACGGCCGCATCTTTGACTTGCCGCCCCCCAGCGAGTTTCTGGCGCTACAGATGAAGCCCGAGGAGATCGGGGTCATCAAGGAGACGCCTGTGCGGCGGTGGATGGCCGCGAAGGAGAAGTGGGACACAAAGTTCGCGGCCGCAAAGAAAGAGGTTCAACGGCGGAGGGCCAAGGAGCTCGCCAGCGAGTTTGTGGGGACTGGAGAGGGCGAGAGACCACCGCCGACTGCTGCGGCGGGGAGGATAAGGAAGGATGAGGTGCTGGTTGAGTCGGAGAAGAAGAAGCCGAGCTTGGGACTGAAGTGGTGGAGTTCTATGGGATATAGCCATGACGAGAAGACTGTGAGTTTCTTCACTTCTGAACCTCTGTAGTGCCAGCCAGGTTATTGACTCCAATTTCCAATGTAGATGGCTCGAGAGAAGAAGGCAATGGGCGGGCAGAATAATAGTAATACTGAGATAACGAAGGATTCAGGAGAGGCGGTGGTCTCGGAGACGTAATTGGCTGTAGACTGGTCGTGTTTTATATCCTCTGGTTGATTTTAAGTAATTTAAAGAAATTCTAAATAGAGGCGGAGATCGTGATTGGCCAAGTGAGATATATAGGGAATCCAATTACAGTCAACTAAAAAAGTCTTGATTTCCCCTTCCTGCCTTGCATCAACCCCCCTTCAGAAAAATCTAAAATTTAAAAACCATATCATGCCCCTGAAGGTTAGTTCAAGCCAAATCTTTCATATTTAAAAGGTAATTGAAATAAAAATAGTCTATTAAAAGATTAGATCACTTCAAACCACAATACCCCCCATTTGGTATGTTGTCAAAAAAAATTGAAATATTTCGCACGGTCTTGGCATTTCATAGACGAAAATGGCGGATTTTTTTAAAAACAGCGCTGGGTAAGCCATAAAAAAAATCAAGACTTGTGCGGTTAACTGTAAATTCAACTTCTCAATAGCATATATAAATGGTAGTGAGTAATATAAATAGGTATAGCAGTGGATTCTGATGAACGCCAAGGAAGCAGAGTTCTCGAGTG